AGATGAGTCTATAAAACATGTTTTGAAAAAAAGCTTGCTAAAAAAAGAATTTATATCTGTTTGGTATATAAATGTCGCACTTTCCTTTTAAGATTGCGCCAAATAAGGAGACGAGTAGTCTAATGATGAGATAAAATATAATATATGCACTTTGACGAATAAATGTATTAATAATAAATTAAGGTGCTTTATACAAAAAAAAAACAAAAAATTATGAACAGAAATTTTATTTTCTTTTAAATATTGTATTTAAATGAAGCGTGTTTATATGCCATACAATTTATAATTTCTATGCAAACATATTCGTTGTAAATAATTTAAGCTAAAAAGCTACTTTATTAAATTTACTAAAAAAAACAGCTTGTACTTGCATCGCTTGTTAAACAATATAATATACATATGTACATATATGGATCTACATACTCGTATATGCAGCTAGAAAAAACGGAAACATCGCCTCTAATGTCGCTTACTGAAAATTTTTTAAAACAAAAATGAAGATTGTTTGTATTTAGAGAGTTAAACGCCCAAAATTTAATTATTATCGGTACAGGAAATCAACTGGTTAGGCTATGTATTAGCCAGATATTATATTTAGTTAGCAGAAATTTGAGAAGTTGACATTGAAAAATGCTGCTAGCTGGTGTATGTGTTTTAAAAAAAAGCTTAGTAAAGTCACAACTATTTTAATGCCTTTTTAATGTTTTACTAATTTTTATACCCATGAGCAATATATTGATCGCCTAACGGTAGTTTAAAATTACATAATACAAGTGGAACACAGCTACGTTAAGCTGGCTGAGTGTTTTCTGGTTTGACTTTTATGAGTAAAATATTCTATCGTATATCTAAAGCTATAGGTGAGATATCGAAAATGTGCTTTAAGAGCATATTCACCTCACTTAGGAGATTTCTGATCCATAAATAGTATACAAAGAGGAAAAATTAAGTAATGCTATGATATTGTATTTCTGACTTAACTTATAATTATATGTGCGCATTTTTCAATGGAATAAGCATAAGGTCACTAACCAGAAAAAGTCGCTATAGCTTATGAAAAAAATGACGAATCATATCCAGGCTCCAGATATAGGATATACTCATGAACTTCTCGTTTCAGACCGAACTTAAAATTTCCTTACTTTTTTCACTTTAAATTAATATTTATTTTACCTCTTCATACTCCGTTAGTTGTAAATAAGCAAAATCTTTATTTTCATTTCAACATTAATTAGTTTTGTGTACCGCTGTCATTTTTTTGACAAAAATGACTAATGATTTAACAAAAATCCGCGGTAGCTGTACACTTGAGCTAAATGAGCTTAAACTGGTGTCTATATACAATAATAGAAAACATTTAGTACAATATTTTTGAGATAATCAAAATTATCCTTTACTATAAGTATAAGTAAGTCCATAGCATATCCCGATAACTTAAGTCGACTTAATCTACTTTAGCATTTTGTCACAAATTGAATGCCCTTTATCCAATATCCTATAATCTGTAGTCAAAGAGAGATTTTAATAGAATATTTCCTTCACTTACGATCCACTGCTGCTTCTTCATTTATTGGTATAACAGAGATCTGTCGAGTTTTTAGAAGTTCTTGGTTCACATTCATTCACTTCATTATTACCATACTATCGACAATGTTAGCTATTAAGTGTAAAAAAATTCAACAAAGTTTAAGGTTGAATATTTGTATTTCTAACTGAAGAACAACGACCCCAACTGCTGGTTAGAAACACAGGTTTTGATCTGATTTGGTCAACTCTACTTGTAAAGAAGTTATTGACACCCTCTTAATAATTGACTGTAAGTTAATTTTATTTTAGATACAGAAACCCGTATGTATCTACTAAGTATATACATACATACATATTTCCACGCACAAAATTTGTTATTTTTTTCATTAGTACTGGTATCGCCACGTTTTATGTATAATTTCGATGGTTATCAGCAAATATACATTTCAAGTTTTGTTCTAAATTTATCAAAACATTTTTATTGTTAATTGTGCTTAGACACATATTTATGTGAGCCATTTATATGCTAACATGAAATTATGTATGTGCATAACTCAACTTAATATATTGCTACAAAATAGGTACGTTTTAGAAAAAAATCAAGTTTTAAGTAAAACTGATTTGAATATCTAGATGAACATTATAGAAACTTTAAGTAAACAATGAAATTTAAGGTGCACACATTTTAAAACTACTCCACTCAGCACTGTCATTATTAAAACACTGCCATATGTTTGAAAGCTCTGAAAACCTTTCTTCTAAGCGTTTTTAAGTATCCGGAATTAGCTGTCTTTACACCATTGACTTATAAATTTCCAAAATCGAGTTGATTCGAATTGAGAAAGGATCGTTATTTCCACCCATAGAGTTGTAATAAAAGCAATCAAAACAACAAATTATATTAAGTATATGGAAGCAAGGAGAAGTACTTGACCGATCTCATCGATTTTTAGTCTAAGGTTGATTCGTGGGCTTTCTTATCTGGGATGCTCATTTGCTTATCTAAGATATCTCAAAATTTTATATCGATGTTTAAATGTAATTATAGACACTATAGACCATGTGCGGTATCTGGGTTCTTCCGATCAAAGCTTAATAATCATATCTTTTTCATCTTTGATTTATTTATTGCATAGTGAAAGACTATGGTTTAGTTTAATCCTATGTCATAAGGGAAGTAGTGACAAATTTAAGCAAGTTTGGTTAATATAGCTTTAGTATTTTGTGAAATATGCACACTAATCCAATTAGTAGGTAGAGCCATGTTCATTTTTTTAAACAACATAAGCACCTCTCTACCATAATTCTCTTTACCAAGTTTATAATATAATATGTTAGCTGAGATGCCCAACTCTCATGTCATTGGAAGTGAGAGCGTAAATCACCTATTGAACTTTGACAGTTGAGTTGAGTTCAGGAGGATTTGACGTTTCGCAATTCAAAAAAAGGGACGATCAGATTGAAATCTGAAAGGAGAGATTTTTTGCCGCTGTTAAAGATCACTAACAAAATTTTTAATACAATGAAAGTTAAAGAAAACGGTGAAAGTTATATACCTTTTCATTACCTACAGCATTTTCATATAACTTTTTTCTATAGGACTCATAGTTTTGCCGGAAATCGAAATAAACCATTCTTAACCCGTAAAAATTCAGCCAAGCTCCTCCTCTTCATTTTCCTGACCACAGATCGCCCGTAAATAATTTTTTCCTTAATGTTTGTCGTTTTATATTTGGTTTCCGATGTGTTTCAATCTACTATGATTTTTTGGTTTTTGTTTTATAATTTTCAAAGACTTCTTCACTAGTTTTTTTTGATATTTTTGTTTATTAAACGTCTATTCAAATAAACTGTTCAAAAGTCGTTTAACATTTGAGTTCAAAACGAGAGGGAAAATGTTGCTTTATGGATACATCTTAAAAGGTTTGAGATCTGAGCAATGTATCCATCGAAAGTTGCTATTAGAAAGCGAATTTTAAGTGATCAGAAAGATAATAATAAGTATAATGATAATAACTGATATCTTTTGGAGGAAATTGGATGATATTTACATTGACGATGTGTGGCTTCAGAAGAACGCTGCGAAATTTAACTTCAAGAATTTAGCGTCTAATTTTATCTAGCTGAGGAGTTAATCCCGCTTTTCCTGCCGTCACATTACATAATTTACAAAAAAAATCTCTTTAAATCAACATAAATCAGGCTCATATTTTGACTAGCGTCAGAATTGTATAGTTAGCTCTTTTTGAAAGGATTTCAAAAGGTACAAACTTAAGCAGAAACGCTTAATACCTGTTATACTTGTATGTAATGCAAATTAAATCGAAATATCTCCGCATAGTACCTAAATTATTTTCCGTAATAAAAGTTGCTAACTTTTTTTAGGCTTAAGTCATCAATATCAATAAAACATTGTTAAACTTTTTTACTTCACTTTAAAGATATGTGGGATTTTTCAAGGACGTAAAGAAAAAGTAAAAGCTTACCAATGAATTGGGCGTGAGGTGACAGCTTGTTTGGAACTTGAATAAGAAAATTGGGAAACTTTTGCTGCAAAAGCAGGAATTTGATTACGCTAAAGCATACTAAGTAAAAATCTCAATTGCCAAGCAGATATATATATATAATTCATCTCTCTTCCATGTTTGTACATATTATATTTAGAACGGTTACAAACACTTTCATAAACTCCAAAATTCAAATGTTAGAATTCGCATTTGGAGTATTGCATTAAGTTCTGTTATACTCATTCCTACACTTTCATTGCTTCGTTGATGTGAGTTTAATAGCTTTAAGTGGGTGTAGGCTTGCCGTTTTTTGCGTTTGACTTAGGAATAATGCCGCATGACTTTTTCGTTGTCAGTCGGACTAAATTTGTTTTTTATGCCACACAGTTTGATGGAATTTTTTATCAAATAAATTATGTTTTTTTTATATATATTTTCATTTTATTGTGTTGAAATGAAGCGTTGTTACACAAAATGACATTTTGTGACATTTCACTTTATTACTTCGTTCGGAGTTCACAAATTAGTTAACAAGAGAAGAAAGGGGTTAGGTGGCAATGATGTACAATGGTACTAAATAAATGTGAATAAAAAGAAAAAAATGAAAATTTTAATCCTTTCCTTATTTATATAAAACACACAGAATATAACGTTGAATGCGATATTATTCAAGAAAAGCTGTTCAAAGCTGTTATTCACATTCAAAATAGATTTAAAAGATAACAAAATATATAAAATACAACAATTTGTTAAAATAAAAAATAGATTAATATTTAAAAACTTCCTAAACAACAATCGACGTTATGGCAACGAAAGTGAATTTGTTTAGCTTTAAAAATAAATTAAATTCCTTCTTTTGTGTTAAGAAATTAAGAAAAAAGTTTTTGTCTTTGAAAACATGTCGTTTTTTAAACTTTTAGTTTCATTTTCACGTGATGATGACAGCATCTTTTGTCTGTTGTTCGCTTTTTTTTTTTTTTGTTCGCTAGTTTTGCTTTGCCTGTCAAATGGCCAATATAATTGGTTAAAATTTACAATTAGTTTAGAACAGGTTGATAAAACAAGCAAAAAAAAATCAATAGAAATTATATATACATATTTATGCATACACCAAATTCAAAACCAACCGTTGAATTCCAAAATGCGAAATTCGCTTTGAACAATTTGTATAATTTTATGCAAATGAAATCGAAGTGTTTCGTAAATTTTCTTAGTGTATGGACATAATTATTTTTAGTTAATGAAACATGCAAATCTGTTTTGAATAAACGACGTCAAACTCTTTATCTTTTTTGTTACTTTTGCTTTTTGACAAATATGTATGCAACTCTTTTTAACTTCTGATTACATAAACCACAGCCAACTACAGGAAACCATTAGAGACAATAAGTTCTTAATTGAATATCAATTTCTACTGTGATTTATTATGAAAAGCCATTTAGTTTGAGTATATACTTGTCTAGCTCTACATATGTTCATATGTATTGCTAAAGCTTGCTAAGAAGCTTCAACATCTTCCTTTTTCACTTATATTTTATTTTAAGTCACTCAAAACATCATTTTTGAGAAGAGAATCTGTTGAGAACTTTGTTACTAGTTAAACTTTGCGAATGGTTTATAAAATGTTACCTGGATATATATTTCTAATAAGCACCTTTTGGTATCGCTTTGAGTCCTTCCGTTTTCATTCTATATCCCCTTATAGGTTCCTGCAGCTCTAGAAACAAGAAAACTCTTCTTATTCTTCTGATGTAAATGAAGCACTTTGAGGAACACATAAGAAATTGGGAAAATGAAATGATTGGTATTTCGACATTTAAATTTGTATATTGCAAAGAATTGACAATTAAATACTTTATAATTAGTCTTGGTGCGTATTTATTATTGAACAGTATTTAAAAATACGCAAAAAGCTTCAAATCATATGTTTAAAATTCGGTTAAATGATACTCGGGTCACAGAGACCTACTATGTAATTTGCCACAGTTGAATGCGGCATCTAGTATGAGTAACTAAACTAACCTTTTAATTCTAAAATATTTTTCGATGAGTTTTTGAATTTTTTAAATCCGGTATAACACAAAAAATGCTACAGTTTTGAGTTGGTTGGTGGTAGCTGGCCTTCGAGTTAGTAGCTAACCGTCAACAATTTGATAACATAATTAAGTGTATATTAGTTATATTCAACAATGACAACTCATCGCTTTAACCGCAAACCACATTTATGTAGAACATTTTATATGCACCAAAATTGATCGAAATACATGCATACACCTACTTACACACATTTCGACACAAAAATATTTCTAACTTAATTTGCTAAGGAAAAACGGAAATATCTGTGAGTCACCATAATGAACTAAGCTGAATTACGCTTTCTTACCACAAAACAATTTTTATATTTAAATATAAGTACGAACATAAGTACGCGTATTGCCAGCGCTGTTTTGCATTCATACTTTGGCTTTCATCTCTGTATCTCGTTTATTTTATAACAATTTATTTTGTGGCAACGAAATGCCAACCGTTATAGATTTCACATTATTATAATTTCCTGTCTTCACATTGTAGCACTCTCGCAGAGTAATTGGCTGAAAATGGAATCAGCTGCATAACGAACGTTCGTCCAGTCATTTATCATTGTTTTGTTATAAATATTTAGGTATCATGATCAGATTGAGATTGAAGAGCTTTACTTACGCCTTATCTCCACAGGTAATGTACATTGCTAACCATCTGTTAAATACATTGCCATAGAAGTTGGTATTCTTGTGTGGGTATTTGCTATCTAGAAAAATCATTATCGAAGTGGCGTCGGGTAGGGAATATTCGAGTTGTTTGAGCTCTTGAACCGTTTAAAATTTTTATGAGAGTAAAAAAAATTTATGTGGAAAATGAAAACAGTCAAAATTTTCTTTTTTTGACACATGTTTTTTTTTGGAAAAATAATATTTCATATTATAAAACTAAATAATTATTGTTGGGAGTTTATTTACCAATTCAATAATTAAATATGAACAATGATATTTACATATGCTGACAATTATCATTAGAATAAATTAACCATACACATATTTACATACATATGTAGGCATATAATTACTATTTTTCATGTTTAGTAAAAATTTTTGTTTTGAATATTACTTTGCTAAATTGCATTTTACACAACAAAACATAGAACATTTCATCTTTGCTGTCATCATGCGACCGAAACTATGCATGTATGTACGTTAGGGTGGAGCGAAAAAAAATTTTTTTGCTTAGCCTGAAGGTAAAATCTGTAGATTATTAAAAAAAAACTGTTTTGGGCAAAAAAAAATGTTTAACATCTGGGGGGGGCCCACTCAGTTTTAAAGTAAATATTTATTTCGTAAAAAATGTTTGATAAGTGTTCTAGAAGCTGTAGAGAGTCCTCTTTTGTAGTCATTAAAAAAATGGGGTTTTAAAAAAAGTGTTAAATGACAACATGCTTTCCACAAGCGTTAAAATAAATTTTAAGTCAAAAACCGGCACATTCGGTAATTTTTATATAAATGTACCAAAAATAATTTTTTCTTGTCCAAAAAAATTTTTACTCAAAATTTTCTTTAAAACTGAGTAGACCGCCTCTAGATGTTAAAAAAAATTTCTTTTTTTTTTTAGTCTACAGATTTTTTTTCGCTCCACCCTTATGTACATGTTGCCTCTGCCTACAAATGAAAACAGATCTGTCAAACGATCAAAATGACAGTTCATTGTAAGCAATGTATGGCATGAAATATATTTAGACATCAATTGCTAGTTAGCAATGTACAGTCTTCATTGGCAATATTACTAGCAATTCAGATTTTTAGCAATCTTTAATTGCTTGAGGCCCCGTTAGAATGTACGTGAATAATTTTGAGGTATAATTAATTCCATTTTCTCAAAATTATACTTAATCTCATATTTCAATTGTTGATTTTATTTGGTTTTTATTTGATACATAATTATTTATGCATGTACCCTAGTATATTTGTACGTATGTCTTAAATTTGAAAATGAACAATTTTTATTTTTTTTTACATAATTATTTAAGAGTGTAATTGTAAATAATTAGCAATATTAGTAAATGAAATAGGCGAGTTAAAAATTATTGCGCAAATATTCGTACCATATGTATCTACATATTTACATGTTTGTATGCATAAATTATTAACATTTTCCACGCAAAAAATTATCAAACTTTACTTTACTCATATATAATAAAAATTCGTTTGTATATCAATAACTGTATTTAAATGTTAAAAATTAATGAATAAACCGACAAAGGAAATTTACGGAATGATCACACAGATTTACATAAAAAATAATTGCAATTTTGTCGACTATTAGCTGACTCATACATATGAATGTACAAGTATTCAAGTGTATGCAACATATCACTAGGTTGGGCACGAAGTTACAGCTCTATGGGTGGTTATTTAAAACCCGCAAACATAATAATTTAAAAAATCAATTGCAATAAAAGCATTATTTTTTTTTTTGTGAGGATAAAGCGATCCAAAACGACCTGATCAAATTTGACCCGGACTGGTTTATTGAAACTGTGAATCAATAAAAATCGAATCAATAAAAAAATTTTCCCAGTTAGGTACATTAGTTTTTATATTTTTTTGAGGTTTAAGTAAAGTGTGTATATTTGTGTTTTTTTTGGAATATGTTTGTTTACGATGCGAAAAGTTTGTCTGGCGATTTTTACCGTGAAAAAAATTCATGCGAGTTGTTCATCAACTTCTGTTAATGACGGTAATATCGAAAAAGTTAAAGACTCTGTGCGTGAAAATCTTCGTTTTGGCATCAGAAAGATAAGAGAGGAAACTGAACTGCGAACACGTTGAAAGTGGTTAAACCAATTTTTTTTTTTGTCACCATAAAAGGAGAAGAGTAGTAGAAGAATAAGAGTCAGCGTATACAGCATCCAAACGCTATTTGATTCCACTGTACGATTTCCATTCCAATATCAAAAATCGAATCATCGACCGATATTACTGTTTTTTGATAAAATCCGCAGACTCTACCGCTTCCATACGTTTTCCTATTCGGCTGTAATTTTGACAGTAACTGTCTACCAGGAGATATAGTACATGATCTCTTGAGGCAGGCGGTGAGAATACGTACTTATCGGACCACCCTCGTGTTACTCTGAAACATGATTAAAACACGTTGCCTGAACGAACTTCAGACCTATCGGCTCTAAAAGTTATTAATAACATACCAGCTGATGGTAGCAAAGATGCTTCCTTTGCGTTGGATATACTAGAAGTTGGGCTTATTTGAGAGAAGCATAAACACTTCTGGAATTCTTATGCAAAAAAAAAACTTAATAATTAAATTGAAGATAATTGAAAAATACTGGTACTAGTACCAAAATGATTATTAAAAAAAAACTTTTAGTACAAATTTCGTACAATTTTCATTAAATTTCAGCAAAATTAATGAACTAAGCTTTAAACATTTTCACGCATATCTAAACCCGTTATGTTATGCTCTGCCATATATACCACAGATGTGATATGTACTTGGCTTGCTCACGTACAAATATTTTCGCAGTTAGGATAAAAGGGAGAAAAGTATGAAATTTCAAAATCTCAAGGTCAACAGAATATCAGGTTCAACGCCCGCACATTTACGTGACTTGCACTACACTGTGCTTTGCCTGCTTTCTTTTGTTTTTTTTTTTTGTTTTTGAAAACGTTTTTCCTTACACTTCTTTCGTGACATCTATTTATGGTTCAATTTTATTTTAGTTACCAATAAAAGTGGTCTGAAAAAAAAAAAAAATTCCATCTGAATTTAAATGGAATAGAAATTTACATAGCGACTAGTTTCGAGCCTATTGTTTTGCACAAAAGATGAAAGCGAATGAACAATATCACTTAGCACTCACGTACATACATATATAGAATATGGTTAATGTATATTTGAATCAAATAAAAATAAAAACAAAAATTAATTTGATTTCGAATACAGAAAAGAGATCGCCGATATTGTCATAAAATTTTTTAATTTATTTGAGGTCATACACTACGTAACACGTGTATTCGCAATTCCAATTTCGAAATACAAACTTGAATTTTGTGCGTTTATTCTGTTTTTATAAAGGGCTTTTTTATGATTAAAGATATGTAGGTATGTACATATATATGGACCATCTGATCAAATTTGACCCGGACTGAGTAGCTGGAATGGCCTTCAGTGCTTTTTAGCGAATTTTTATTTTTTCGATTTCGGCCCGTTTCGAATATATTCAAGATTTTTGGACAGTTTTCACGTCAGATTCATAAACCCACGTCCAGCATCCTTATCATTAATGATGCGTTCGATGAATGCTGAGTATCTAGCTATGTACAAGTATATAGTCTAGAATCTTTGTTACGACCTCTACTCGACGTCAGTTTTGCAAAACATTCATGTATTTTGGTACGAGTCCAGTATTGACATGCTTCATCCCTAAAACATTAACCAAAATATGTTGAGTCGATCCATATGAGATGTTGAGATCCTCTGCTATCTCTCAAATGAAGATTATGACATATGAAGATTAAACTTCACACGAACATAAAAAATGGTGGTACTGGATCTAAGAAAAAAATGTATGTCGATTCAGTTTGTGCGCGCAGTTTGTATGGGCCAGTCCGAGTCAAATTTGATCGTTTGTTATTATATTGTATATATTTAAGAAGCTCAGATTTATATGTATCTGTCTATTTTATCTTATGAGTTACCTGAATTTTTTTTTAGAGAGGTATTTTATTTATTAAATAAAAATTAAGTATATTTACAGATATTAATATATTTTATTTATCGGCGATTTATTATGAAAAATGTTGGATTCCTTCGTAGCCGATCTCCAGGAAGACTTTCAAAGAAAGCTGTCTGACTGTAGGGAAGATTTTTTTGTTAAAATTATCTCAAATCCAAGAACCAAAAACTTTTATTATTACGAAAGACCAATACAGGTAATGATGGAAGGACTAGTCAAAATTTTGAATTTTATCAAAATGACAACTTCCCGAAATAAGTTGTTTGTTATGAAAAAATTTACACTTCAGAGTGACTCAAAAATAGTCGAAATTATTATCTAAAATCTTATTCTTTTGATCATCATTATATGACAAATATATTTAGGAAGCTCGTTTGAAAATCGATGAAAGTCGATCGCTCCAGCAATTTCGATAAAATCCGCTCTCTCTGATACCAACGCTTTGAGAAAAACACGTATGTATTTTTGGGAGCGACTACACTAAGTTAAAAAATTCCTACAAATACGCTCATATCTCGGAAACTATTTACTGGATCCACTTAAAATTTTCGGAGAACATTCTCAAATATACATATCTACATTCGATGTATGTAGTATATGCAAATCGATTTTTTTGAAATTCGATATACATATGCATAAAACCATTTAAGCTATTTAGTGATTTTTTTCTAACGTTACAAATCAGCATTTTATTCCGATTTCATGTCCTACATATATGCAAGGTATATATTTTCAATTTATTGTTGTTTATAGGATTCCTACATTTTTTGATACCTGAAATTAAATCCAATCATATATATATAAATGCATAATAAAATTCGTTAAAGCTTCACAAGCGCACCACTTATTCATAATTGAAACTGTGCCATTAATCAAAGTCAACTTAGTATTCTAATTGGTTGATTTTGTTGACTAATATCTGCACAAATATTGAAAGCAACAGGTGCGAAGAACATAAATTTTAACATTGACGTAAGTTCGAAAAAAGGTGTGTTGTACGCACGGAATAAAGCTTAACAAGTAAGCCATCCGCAGCAGCGTATTAAAACAGACAGCTTAGTATCAAAGGAGCACAAAAAGTGTGTGTGTGTTCAGACATGTTACGATTAGCCAATAAGAAACAAGATCAACATGACTCTAGCTGCTGCGCCAGTGATCAGCATGCTAGGCATGAAGCTCACTAAATACGTCAGTTTGTTTGTGATTTGCACATTTTAAATATTAAATAGGCACAAATACATACATATGTATATCTACTTAGTAGCTGAAGGAAGTATAATATATAAAATAAGCGTCAAGCTATTTTAACACGCTTTACGACAAATGCCATAAATAATCGATATTATTTAGCTTTAAAACCTGAAATTGAATAAGATGATTTATGTCTGTGGTCTATATTTTTGTTCTAAGTCAACTTAAATTACTTATTAGCGAGATATCGGTATTAACAACAAATTAAACAACAGATTATATGATTGCTTAATCTCAAATAAATAATTTAACATCCGGCTTAAGAAAAATTTAAATTCGTTTGACAAAAAAACGTTATAAATTGACTTTGATTGATATTTAAATATTGAACAACGCCGACTTAAATTTATTCGAAATTAATATAAGAAAATTACAGCCTCCATTTAAAAATATATTTCTAAATCATTTTTACCGCTATGTGTCGTACATAAACCGTCTTCGCGGCCTTTGTATAAATCGAGTAAATCTATAATCTAGGCTTGTACAATGTTCGCGGCGGCCATTAATACTTCCATAATAACTGCAACGTTGACTAATACTGGATTGGACATATATCTTATTTCAAAAACATTTTAAATTTTTTATTTAAGTAAAAAAACCAATAGCGCAAATATAAACTAGTCAAACGAAAATTTTTCGTTAAAAATGCTTACAAAAGCGAAAATGTCAAATGATGCTGTATATCGAAGACACAAACCTTTCAGACAGGTTGTAGGCTAACTTCAATAAACGAAAATTAACTTATACTTTGATGGAGAAAAAATAAACATTTGTAGATACAATTTTAAAATTTACTGCATTTTTCATAAGAAGAATCGTTACTACAAGTTACTACTTATACATAAATAGTATTTGGAGAAATTCATAGCTTATGTATGTGCATAAAAGCAACACTGTAGCAAATACAACCATATAAATGCTTTTTGATGCTTCTTGACAGCTGTCAGTTTGAAGCAACACAATCCACCACTCCCAAAAAGAAAATACCAACAGTGCATTAATCAAAACAATTTTTCGGTTTGCAAGCTAAAGCATGCAAAAATCTTCGCATATCGCACGCCAGGACTCACAAGAACAATTGCCGACCACACACTATAAAGTAATTGTACCATCAATGAAGCGTCGTACATTGGCAGGCACCTGTGGCGTTGGTGTGTTTGTGATTGCTTTCGTTGCGATTGTCATCTCATTCGCCACACCCAATTGGCTGGCTAGTGATGACCGGATAACTGGTGCTAAACTAGAACGTCTAGGATTATGGGTACATTGTTTTCGATCACTGGCCGATGTGAATGACAATAATCAACGCCGTTTCTTTGTGGGATGTCGCTGGGTGTATGACCCCTTCACAACGGGCTATGACGAGATTCGTGGATTCTTATTGCCTGCATTCATGATTGCGACACAGTTTTTCTATACGCTTGCATTCATTGGAGCGCTAGTATCATGCGTGGGTGTTTTGGTATTCTTTCTCTGCGCTGGACCGGACCAAAAACACTTTGTGACTCTTATAAAGTTAATAGGGTATGTAATGTTGGGCACAGGTGTGAGTGCAGCTATTGCTGTTATTGTTTTTGCTTGTTTTGGCAACCGTAATGGCTGGATGCCGGAGCACGCCAACAATTGGTTCGGTTGGTCATTTGTGCTGGCGTGTGTTGGAACAGTATTTTCTTTAGTAACAGGTATACTATTCCTTACCGAACAAAATGTGCAAGCAAAAAAGCGTAAGCAATTCAAAGAATCTCAAACGCGTTTTGAGTTAGTGCAAGGCAAGGCCTAGTGGTGGAGTCATCTATCGACAGAAGAACTTGGTTTGCTTATGCATAGAAGCAGTCGTGAAAGAAAACGTTTGCGTCGAAAAAAGCGACGTAGTACTACAAGTTTCACGAAATGAGTGTAAAAGCATAAATTTAAGGATTAGAAAGGCACGACCCGAAACATTATTTTTTAATCAAGAAATTTAAACTTGCAATAATGCATGTACCCAAATTCCGTCCATTTTAAGAAAAAAAACCGACCAGTTTTAAGTTAAAAAGTCTACACATATATAACTTCAACTTTTTTTTGAAGTGCTCGAAGCAATATAACGCGAAATAATAGTCGTAAGTTTATGCAATTTGCACAAGGTTAAATCATATAGTTATAAACAAAAAGTTCTCATAATTCAGCACAAATGGCCAAAAACGCAGTTGGTACTTATGACATGCATTTACGTACATATTAACTTGCAGTATATTTATAGTCACTTAAGACTGTCTTAAAGAAGAAAACTTTTGCATTTGTGTCCAACAACGAATTTTAACTAGAATCTTAATTTGCATATATAATTTTAAAATATAAAACGAAAATCGCGCTAGCCATTTGTACTGATTATGTGTATTTACACAATCAAATTTGGAAATTCACATTAGAACCAATAGTAACATGAAAACACATGTAGATAAGCATGATAAATATGTGCCTTAAGTAAAAATTGTTAAATGTATTATATGTAACTAAGAATGAATTAATTAAGAAGTATACGCGAATTGTGTGCGTCGTTCTGCTACAAAAGTTGCATAAACTTTCATTCCATTTTTGTGTTCGCACAGCCTATTCATAAGCATATAATTACATATAGATATATAGTAAGTGGTACCTTAATAAAGACAATTGAATGAGCACAAATCATGATTTAATATGTTGTAACGCAAAAAAGGCGCACAAAGTAAAAAAAAAAAAGAATCAAAAAAATAATAGATATTTGTTTGTATATGCATCTACAATCCGTGCCTTAAAAACAATATTGTACAAATATATAAGTAAATACTTTATAATCATTCCAAATTTTTCAATACACATACCAATACGTAAATTGTTTTGTACCTTTTAAATCGTATAGACCGTTTAAATGTATTTAAATAATTAATTAACTAAAAATTTAGATTCGTCCATTTAGACAACTGCAGCAAAATGTTTATATTTACTCAACATAATAACAAAAATACATACGTACTATATTCTTAGTATATAATTATACATCATATCATGTTTAGATCCTATAAACTGGCGATGTCACACTTCGAATACGATATCTTCACACAGTTCTTTGTCTATTTTAAATTTTATAAATCGCTTCTACTTGATCATTAATAAAAAACAAAAAAACTAGTGGTAATGATGGATTTTGCATTGTTCTTTATATTTCCACTACAATAAACAATAGTGATTTATATGAGAATTTTCTATGGGAAGTTTAACAACAGCGTGAGATATTAACAGTACACAGAGAGTAGAAGGAAGTAGCTGGCTTTAATTACTATAATTTGAAACTATATATATACGTTGCATAATCAAAATTTCGGCGTTACTCATATCATAAGCCTTGGTACAGGCCGAAGTAAGCAATGTGTGTTACATTGTGCTGTGACTCTTGGGCTATATCATAGATCAGTAAATTGCAATAACAATATGAAAAGCATATTATTGCACAATTTTGATTATAGAAATCACTTTCTTTAGAATTATCTATTCTTAATGCATTAAACATAATTTCAGAATTTCAAAAAACTAGAAAAAAAATTTGTGAAAACTATGATACACACGGCAACTTTTTTTCATGTTATGCTATTCGCCTAAAGATGTCGCTTTACTGTCATTTATTAGAGTTGACTTTATAGTTGCTTCATTTGTTTTGTCCAATTCGATTATTGCAATTAATAACTACAGAAATTATGGAATTTCCGCCGTGTCCACCAACTTTAAAACAAATACAGCATTTCCTGAAGATCGCGCAAGAGCATGATTCGCGTGATGTTGTTGTGGCATATTGGGCGCGGCTCTACGCTCTCCAAATTGGATTAAAAATTTCAAAGCAGCAGCCAGATGTAACCAAATTACTCTTGGGTATGTAAGATTGTGCAAGGGGTGTAAAAGAGATCAAATATTGACGTAAAAGTGACTCACTTTTGTTTTGATTCTAGCAATAATGGATTGGTTGGAAAACATAAAAAAGCAACAAACGGAAAATGAAGCAATTACTAACGAAGTAGCGGCACAGGCACATTTGGAAAATTATGCTTTAAAACTATTCCTTTACGCTGATAAACAAGACCGTGACTCAAATTTTGGCAAGTGAGTACCACCAGTACTGTAATATATTTAACGAAATTTTTAAACAAAGCTTTATTTAATTCAATCTTTCTTTTGTAGAAATGTAGTAAAAGCATTCTACTCCAGTGGTGTCATCTACGATGTGCTGCAAACATTTGGTGAACTCTCCGAAGAATCTATACACAATCGTAAATATGCCAAATGGAAGGCAGCATACATCCACAATTGCCTCAAAAATGGCGAAACACCCATACCCGGTCCAATGCCTGACGGTAATGATGAGTTCGCAGCTGAAGGTGGTGCCATAGGCGGAAATGGTGGTAGTGATGGTTTAGCTGATGGTGAAGGTGATCCTGAAATCACTGCTATACCACAAGATCCACCAGCCGATGAAGAAGTTGGTCCAGCACCAATACCAGATCCATCACCACCGCAAAGCCCTCCACCTACAGTTGATGAGGTTCTAAATAATCCAAACAAATTACCAAGTCCACCAGTCGATGAAGAGAAACCTGGTGGTTTCGAACCTTATGTACCACAAGCACAGCCCAGTCGAATATACATACCTCCAACACCAGTTGCTGATTTGCAATTAACACCAGAACAAATAATGAAAGCGCAAAAATATACGAAATTCGCTGGCACTGCTCTCAATTTTGATGATGTGAAAACAGCTATTGATAATTTGGAAAAAGCTTTAAAACTTTTAACAACAGGCGAAGATAGTTAAATTCTTGCAACAAAGGTATTACTACTAAACAAATTACATATGTATGTATGTATCTGCGCTGTGCTTATATGTCATATAGCTAACGAAATTCACGAAATTTGCTTATATTACTAACCGCTATAGAAAGTACTAAAAACCAATTATTGTATGGAATAAGTTAAAAATATTAAAATAAAGGCAAAACTTTGAAAACTCAGTTTTTAATTTAAATTTAGTGGATATAAACGAAACCAAGTCAATTAAACTATTGAAGTTATTAAATTCATTTCTGCTATACTAATTAATAGAGTAAAAATACCATAGTATTTGGGCAAAGTTTGCTCACTTTTAGTGTACTTACTGCAAATCACATTATCAGCAAAAGAAGGGATTTCAGTTTGAAATTTTTATTAAAATTGCGTGCGAAATTTATTTGAAAAAAAATCGATGACTAAAATTTGAAATGATAACTGAAGTTCTACTACGTGACATTTATGAATTATGTTATTTTAATATTCATTAAATCGTGCGGTTAAGAACTTTCAGTATATGATAATTATGTGTAGGTATTTACTGACTGTGTATTGAGCACATTTATTGGTAGACTTTCGGATTTACAACGGGCTTTAGTTTTAATTTGAAAGAAAACAGTAATTTATGATACAAAATAGTGACAATGCAGTTATGAAAATGTTGAATTTAAAATTTTAGAGATTTCTTATGTATTTATGCATATGATGCTATAAATTAGAACTTAATGCTTGTCATTTTCATTATTGTTGTAATTGAATTGATTGCTTTGATGTGCAAATTGCACTTACATATGTATGTATGTTTATCTTAAGTGTGATGTGATGTGATGTGATGTGCAAGACATTTTTATCATAGATAATTATGCGTATATTTTATTAAAATGAGTTGATTGTGAATATTTGCTTTCCACGATATCTTATTGAGTTCTTAATCCTGTTTCACGCCATTCGTTTGTGGTTGTGTGGCAGCTGCTAGTTCACTATCCTTCCGACTTGTCTGTAATTTGAATATAATGTTATAGAATTCAATTCAATTGTCTTGATTTGCATTTTACATACCTGATACCATACAACAAGTCGTCCGCCTAGCATGAATGTAAATACAAGCGCCGGTCCAGAGCGTTCGAATGGATCGCTGACCATCCAATGTTGATAGACACCCAAAATCATTAATAGCAACAGAGTTACATTGGCAGCATTTTTTACTTTATCTGCAATTTGAAGTGATTATTGTATTAAAAAATGCTTCGATAGGTAAATATGTGTGTATGCGTTCAATTTCCAACGTACGATATGGAATAAGTGCCATAGCCAGCCCGCAAGTTATCTCCAGAATACCAACAGTTCGACGATACCACTTTGAGGGCACTTTGAAGCCAAACATTGTGGCCAGCGGAAAAACTTTGGCATATTTTACATATTCTGTTCGCTGTAAAATATAAACAAATGCAATACAATTTTAACAATAATCTTAAGTATTAAAATAGAAAAAATTAAAATTGATTATTTAAAAAATTTCTAACTTTGTTTTAACAATTTGAAATTCTATTAAGTTTTCTCAACAAAAAACAATAAAAAAACATTTACTTCGACTGCCACGAAGCTATAATACCCCTTACAGGTGCATTTTTTATAGCGTAAAAGAGTGTAAAAATATTTGTAACTTGGTTTTGATCGCTCAGCTTGAATCGCAGCTATATAATATAGTCTTCCGAACGGCACAATTTGTAGCGATAACTGCGATAATAACACGACAAATACTTGATTTTGATCATATAGTTTGTATGACAACTATATGCTATAGTGGGCCGATATCGACGGTTTCAACAAATTAGCTCCTGTGGAGAAAAATACGTGTTCAGAACGATATCTCCAAATATGTGGGACTAGTTCGCGTTTATACAGACCCCCTAAATATTTATATATAATATGTACATATACTTTATAGGGTCTCCGACATTTTTTTCTGGGTGTTACAAACTTCGTGGCAAACTTAATATACCCTGTCCAGGGTGTAAATATGTACACAATTATTTTAAGATTTAGAAAAAAAACATATAAATATTTTTTTTCATGAGCGAATGTTCTTAGGGCTTAAGAATATATGCTGCAAAAATGTATGTAAGGTAGTAAAACACATCAAAGACAGCAGACATAATATTTTTGTATATGGTTTTTGTTCAGAATGATTTTTGCCTATACACATGTATTTACCATTTAAATTTGCATACATACATATATATGTAAATGCATAAGTAAATAATTTTATTATAAAATTTATTAGCGCTTTTCGCTTTCGCACTGTAAGAATTGGCATTGCAAAAGACCATCAAAATTTCAAGTTCAAAACAAAATATTTTCTATTTCTATGATATGGAAGTATACAAACATCTTTACAAATTACTGCATTTTTTATAAATATATGTATGTTATTAATGTTTGCATGGTACGTAATTTTTTCTTTTTTACATATACTTTTATATATACTCAACGTAAACATTAACGTACATTATTGCATATACATATGTACGTACGTATATGCCGTATTTATTGAGTATACTTGTACGAATATTTCTCATCTTTGAAATATCTTTAAATTTGTACAAGTGTGCTGTTACTTGTGCTTGAGGAACTGCTTTTGTTTCAACAAGTAAAATCGGAAGTATGCATATAAATTCTGACAAGTTTACATATATGTACATACATACATATGTAATGTGTATATTTAAAATTTTGTTGCAATGTAGAGAAGACGCGTCATGATAATAACCTCGATTTTGAATCTATGGGGACAGCTTTATTTTTAGTGCTATAAAAACCTGTCATAATTTACAAAAACTTTGTTTGAAAACTTAAATAAAGAAAAAAATATTTTACATACATACATTATATTATATTGTATCTTTCGGAAAAAAACTTATTTTGTTTTTACCATAAAATGTATTATCTGAGGAAATATTTCATATTCACTCATGAGTGTATACATATACATATATGTATGTATGTACGTCATGGAAAAGCGTCACAATTTTGAGCGGAAAATATCGCTACGGCAGCTGCCAAAACCAAAAAGATGCGATGATGATTTCCCTCACATAGACTATTTAGAAATTTGCTGTGGCACATGTCTACCATACTTATGTTATAAATAAATAAATTATAAGTAATAAATAATTTTTATGCAAATTTTATATTCACATGTTGAAATATCCATCCATAGCAAAATATACAAACAATAAAGTAAAATTATTCGTTCCTACATGCTTATTTATAGGTATATAAATACATATTAACAGCAGTAAACATTTCAATTTTCACCTTCATTATAAATTATAGAGTATGTATATATCTTATACTGACATTTATCTATTATCCACTCGAACTTTTCGGTTTGCAATCCAATTTTCTCTCAAAGCGTTTATTTTGCAAATAAAAATGTTTATTTGCTTTATTTTGTGCCACCAAGTAGAAGTGTTTCAATAAAACTTTGTTTACACAGAAAATTAATTGTACAATTACGGAGCGCGCTTCATGAGTTCAATAACATAAACTATAATATTTTCGATGTTCACTATGTTTTTGGGTACTTAGAAGTTTTCAAGTGCCTCCAACTAAATAAATAAATAGCTGAGTATACACTCAGCTGGAAGTTGTATTTTATGATCGATAATATGGTTAATTGGTACATGGAAATAAGCAATGAATTAAATGAATTAAGCAGAATAGGCTTCACGACTAATGAGGTTTGAGAGTCTCATGCTCAATAAAGCAAAAATATATTTATAAAATATGACATAATAGAGAAATCGCTGAAGATGTGATAAATCAAAGATCTGTATGGGCTCTTTCTATGCCGGACACCACTGGCACATTTAGGAAATTGTATCTTAAAGCCTTTGCGATCTCATAACGAATAAATGATATAACATGTGTTTTTTTTCAATTTCCGTTTACGATCATGAAATATTATTCAACTCCCTGGTTACCACAACGAATTCGCGTTCTAGGCTGTCCAAGTGAGAACCCTCTCTATCTTAACTTAACATAACCTTGGTGGACCACGTAGAAAATGGCGGAAAACAAGCTTTATTATTTACATACATAAAAGTTCATAAATCGTCCACTAGGCATTTTTCAAATGCGGCCACAAGATGAGTTAATTATAAAGTTTTCTTGTTGTGCACAGGCATGACTCTAACGATAAATAGTCGGACTTGAATCCTCGTCCCTTAGTATAATTGGAAAACTTTTCTACAATAAGCGTATCACACACAAATATTCTGCCTTCAAATTTGCGAAGACATTCAAACAGAAAAAATCAATAATTCCTGGTAGATCCTTATGGATTGCATATGTCATATACCTTACAAATGTGCAGCAAATTAATATATACATCAATAAGCATACATAAATATATATATCTCCCAGATGTACATACATAAACATATAGGACACATGTATGTATATATATAATTATGGACGCTTTATGTATCAACAGAATCATTGATTTTTCATTTATGAAAAAGATAAATGGTTTCACCTATATAGGTACATACGAGTAGAAGCATACACATATGTGGAAAATAACTAAAATTAACAAAATTTCACTCAATGCTTACCAAGTCCTTGAACAAATCCTTGCTAATAGCTGGTGTCAACTTAAGTAATCCAACAAAAATGAAGAATAATCCGAGCAGTATGGAAAGACTCTTCAACACTATCGTATTCGATGCAGGCATTTTGAAAATTATGTATATAAGTATTTATTTTTGAATAATGTGCTTAGTCTTTACTAAAAAAAGCGCTTTTAAGTTTTTCAATCCGATCAACTAAATATACTTAGGTACGTACATATAAGTGACACAAGTTCATTAAATTAAATTTTTCAATTTTTTGTTAACACAAATTTTGCTTATACATAGATAGATATTCATGTGCAAATTGTATATATGTATATATTGATGTTGTTGGTATTCCCACTAAGCGCCGCACTGCAAATCCCTTATACACGTAATAAATAGACAACCGTTTGGTCTATTTTTAGTGTTAATCGTTCAAAAATTTTGTTCAAACAAAAAATTCATATATATATGCTATTTTTTCACTTTCTTCTTATTTTGTATTTTAAATACATATTTTGTTTTACTCTTACTTGTATTATTTTTTTGTGTTTAAACAACAACCGGGCCGGCGCGTTTATTTTTATTGAAACCCACGGCGCTCATGTTCGAAAATGACTGAAATGGTCGGTCAGTCGGTAGCTCGCCAAAAGTGGCAAATTGCTGGTAACGAAACTAAGTGTTTTTTTTGGCTCTACGAAGGGCGGTGGATGGTAATATAGGCAATGCTGTTGACTATATAGACAGACGCTTTTGCGGTGGTTGTTTTCTAACGAAGTCATCTTCGTGATAGTATTGCAGCATCCTGTAAATCGATTGACACACACATTCATATGCATGCATAAATCGTAAGTGACTGTTTTTGCAGATAATGAGAAAAATAGTGAACACAAAACATTTTTAAGGTGACCAAGTCAGACTCTTATAGTTAAGATATGAGAATGAATACTAAGAAATTCTTAAATATGAAATATGATGAATTCTCGTCACTAGGTAACAACTTCCTTTTCCGTTTTGAAGTCAATGATTGTTATACATTTTGTAATTAAGACCTTGAGAAATGGAGAAACTTATTAAGTGTTTCCACTTAAAACTTTATTAATCGAAACTTTAGTTTCTATGAAAGTTTTTGTTTATGTTATTTGTTTTGAATTTTTATAGTTCATGTTCTCAATATGTTGTTGTAAATGAGCCGCAGAGTTCAATTATGATTTTATATTTAGATTTATATAAATATTTAATATTGGTTTTTATTACTAATATGACGCAAACGCATATTAGAAATGCAAGTCTGTATATATGAACAAACAGCTGTTCAATCTGCTAAACTTTGTCGTAGTAAACAATATATTCTCAATTGTTTTGTATAAATTTTCCAATATATAACGTGTTTTTTGTTTATTCACAAATGTCTTTAGTTGCATATGCGGCCAGCAGTGATGAGGATTCGGACCATTCCGAAGTAGAAGAAGTTTCCGCTTCCAATACTAAAACCAATGGGGGAGTTGTATCGGTGACACTAGCGGTCAATGGTTATCTCGGCCCAGGCACAATAAGCGATGACGAAGAAGATTATGCGCCAACCGAATATACAACAATTCCAGAGAATAAAATATCACAAAGTCTTTTATTGCCTGAACCAAAAAATATAATTGAAGTAAAAGCACCAGAAGAAGAATTGGACGTAACGCCAATTTTTGCAAAACTTCCATTACCCAAACATACAGTTGAAAATAATGGAGTTATCGAAGAGGAAGACGATGAATTTCTACATAAAAAGGCAGTAGTACCGATCGAAGAAGTTAAACCTATACCTGTGCATGTGACACCCAATAAAGGACCTGTAAAAATTACTATTCCGTCATTGAAAGAGTTTAGTGATGTTGAAAAAGATATTGCTAGTAAAGGGAAAAGCAAACACGTATCCGAAAGACAAAAAAAGTCCGGTTTATTAAGCATGCTACCACAAGCAAAGTCGGAGCAAAATTTTGCGAAGACTGCTCCTAGCAACGTATCAAATGAATTAACACCTCAGTTGAAAAAAGCTCCATTACTTACAAACAATCCATTTATTCCGGATGCTGTAAAATCTCGACGTCCCGCATGTAACACTGAAGGTGTTGATGGTATAAAGAAACCAATAAAGAAGCACAAACCCACCGATAAAACAAAAATATCACTGGTCAACTGCAGTGACAGTGACGACAGTGGTGACGAACCCGGTGATTTCTTTTCCCTCAATTCCGAAGAAAAACTACCAGAGGTTAGCATTAACGAAATAAATGCTATGGTCGCGGAACGTGCTGTTAAAATGGCAAACGCAACGACTCAATTCTTAAGAAAAATTACAGAAAGCAAACAATGTGAAGAAGGAAATATGCAAGTAGAAAATGAAAGGCGTTTGGCAGAAAAACGAACTCAGCAGCCATCTTTGGATAAGACTGCTTTGCAGGCACTGGCAGGCAGTAGTTCCAAACGTAGAAAAAGAGAAGAAGACATACAAGTTCTGGATATCTCAAGCGCCGAGGTACTACCAAGTAGAGAAGAATGGATGCGTACAGCTTTAGCGTCTTCTACTGCCTACCAGCCGACTGGCGTTTTAGTTGACGAAGAGCCGGTAGCTGGTACTAGGCGAAAACATCAAATCACCTATCTGGCTCACAAAGCGAAAGCCAACGAAGCTGAATTACAAGCAATGTGGTCTGCGAATCGCCAAAATCGGAAAGCAACTCAAAGCAAATACGGCTTTTAGAGTATATATCTTACTTCTTACCTATATTTAGTATATAAATGTGTTGAATTTACATTTTTAAACATATAATTTACAATAAAAATAATGTGTAACTTTCACCAAGATTCAATTTTGTTCAGTCGACCAAATACGTAAACAATTGACGCGGAAAGCAATATCCATATTGGTATCATGGTGACAAATATTGATATCTCCCACTGCGGGTATTCTAAACGCAGACAAATCATTAGCTGAGAAGCGATTTTCAGCAGCACACCACAAATGTACCATTGGTAATAGATTAGCAACTCCTTGAGTCGTTTTAAATTTCTCCATTTGCGTATAATTTTAATAACCACGTAAATTATTAATATTCCGTCAAATACCCATAGCGGAATGAAAGTAACAAACCAACTCCAGTGTGTTCGTGGATCCAATCGGAGACAAAGTAAAATGAGGAAGACTAGCACAATGAACCAAGTGAACAATGCGCGATGTGCTAAAGTCATTATTACGTTGTATTATGCGGTAATTGCCAACATTATTATATATTTAATAATTTGTATGACACTCGGATTATTTTTCACTTTTCAATTGATCCAAATAATTGTTGAGAATCTGAATGGGTTGAAAAATGTAAATTTATCCGGCAGAAACAAAACAAAAATAATTTCTAAGAGTTGCCAATTCTAATTTTAATATCGGTTCGAATGATTTTTTTTTTACTATAATTTTTCATAAAACTTTATTAATTTAATTTTATACACAATACAATATTCGATGTAGCCATTTTGCATCTCCGCATTTGCCAATTTAATTCAAAAGTAAATAATTTACTCAAATAAAAGCAAAAACAATACGTTAAAAATATTTAATTTATTTTTACAGCTGATGCTTGAAGTATTGTAATAGAAGAATACAGTTGAGTAGTAGACGATTAATAACTTGACGTGTCACTTTTTCAGCGAAGAAAGATATTTGCACATATTCCAATAATTTTTTTAATTTTACCAAGTATTAAGTATTTTGGTCGAATCACTTGTGACTCCAAAAGTTACTCTACTTAATTGAAAACAATATTTTAGAGCTTTAAAATTGGATTTACGACAAAATCAAAAACACACAAGTTCGACAGCTCAGCAAGTAACACAAGAGTAGTGAATCGTAGCCATCATAGCTTCGAAAAGTTCAGAACGATTGATATATTCCAAGATGCTGACCAACTTTGAATCAAAGTCAGCACGTGTTAAGGGTTTATCTTTCCACCCAAAACGACCATGGATTCTTGCCAGTTTACACACTGGTGTAATTCAGCTTTGGGATTACCGCATGCACACACTGCTCGAAAAATTCGATGAGCATGATGGACCGGTTCGAAGTGTCGCCTTCCATCAACAAATGCCACTATTTGTATCCGGAGGCGATGATTATAAAATTAAAGTATGGAATTACAAACAACGTCGCTGCATTTTCACCCTCTTGGCTCATTTGGACTATGTTCGTACAGTTGCATTTCATCATGAATATCCGTGGATTTTAAGTTCCTCAGATGATCAGACAATTCGAATTTGGAACTGGCAATCTAGAAATTGCATTTGTGTGCTAACTGGACATAATCACTATGTTATGAGTGCTCAGTTCCATCCGACGGAAGATCAAATAGTCTCCGCATCTTTGGATCAAACTGTACGAGTGTGGGATATTTCCGGGCTACGTAAGAAAAATGTTGCACCTGGACCCGGTGGACTGGACGACCATTTGAAGGGTCATCCTGGTGCAACCGATCTCTTTGGACAAGCTGACGCCGTAGTTAAACATGTGCTCGAGGGACACGACCGTGGCGTAAATTGGGCAAGTTTCCATCCCACTTTGCCACTCATTGTATCAGGCGCTGACGATCGTCTTGTCAAGTTATGGCGAATGAACGAGTATAAAGCTTGGGAAGTCGATACATGTCGCGGTCACTACAACAATGTTTCCTGTGTGTTATTCCATCCTAGGCAAGACCTAATACTTTCGAACGGAGAAGATCGTAGCATTCGAGTATGGGATATGACAAAGCGACAATGCTTGTATACCTTCCGACGTGACGGTGAACGCTTTTGGATACTCACTGCACATCCCACATTAAATCTGTTTGCTGCTGGTCATGATGGCGGTTAGTACACTAAACATACAAATTTTTTACTATGCGCATCTTTACGCAAATATTTTTTATCTTACTAGGCATGCTGGTATTCAAATTGGAACGTGAACGTCCGGCCTACGCCGTTCATGGTAACTTACTTTATTATGTAAAGGACCGTTTCCTGCGCAAGCTTGATTTCACAACTACTAAAGACACCGTTGTAATGCAATTACGTGGAGGTGGTAAATCACCAGTACACAGCATGTCTTATAACCCTGCATTGAATGCCGTGCTCATTTGCACACGGACCAACAATCTTGAAAATAGCACCTATGATTTATATCAAATACCAAAAGATTCAGAATCTCAGAATGAGACCGAATCAAAACGTTCATCTGGCATCACCGCCATTTGGGTAGCGCGCAATCGTTTCGCGGTGCTCGATCGTAATCAACAATTGGTAATTAAGAACTTCAAAAATGAAGTTACTAAAAAAATTCCAACATTCTGTGAAGAGATATTTTATGCCGGTACCGGAATGTTATTGATACGCGACCCAGAATATGTTACGCTCTATGAAGTACAACGTTTAGTATCCGTGGGATGTATTAAATTGGCTAAGTGCCGTTATGTTGTTTGGTCAGCTGATATGTCATTGGTGGCGTTGCTGTGCAAACACTCTGTAACTATTTGCGACCGTCGTTTGCAGTATTTGTGCACAATTCAGGAGAATTGTCGCGTCAAGTCTGGCGCTTGGGATGATTCGGGTGTATTTATCTATACTACCAGCAATCACATAAAATACGCTATTACTAACGGCGATCATGGCATTATTCGCACACTCGACTTGCCTATTTATTTGACGCGTGTTAAAGGCAATCAGGTGTTCTGTTTGGATCGCGAGTGCCGCACACGCGTACTACACATTGATTCGACGGAGTATAAATTCAAGTTGGCGCTCATTAATCGTAAATACGATGAAGTTTTGCATATGGTCCGCAATGCACGGCTAGTGGGTCAGAGTATCATTGCCTATCTGCAGCAAAAGGGATATCCCGAAGTTGCGCTACATTTCGTTAAAGATGAGAAAACACGTTTCGGGCTGGCTTTAGAATGTGGTAATATCGAAATCGCTTTGGAAGCGGCCAAGGCACTAGACGACAAAGACTGCTGGGATCGTCTAGGTCAAGCTGCATTGTTGCAGGTGAGGATACAAATTTATAATTTATATATAATATAATAAAATTAACAAATATAATTATTTAAGGGAAATCATCAAGTGGTCGAAATGTGCTACCAACGCACAAAGAACTTTGACAAGCTCAGCTTCCTCTATTTAATCACGGGTAATCTGGAGAAGCTCAAGAAAATGAATAAGATCGCAGAAATCCGCAAGGATGTGTCAGCTCAATACCAGGGCGCCTTGCTTTTGGGCGATGTTAAGGAACGTGTAAGCATACTAAAAAATTGTGGACAACTATCGTTGGCCTACCTCACGGCAGCAACTCATGGTTTACAAGAACAAGCCGAGCAGTTGGAAAATGTTATCACACAGGAAGGCAATGAGTTGCCTATTGTCAATCCAAATGCAACGCTATTACAGCCACCGGTTCCCATACAGCCAGTGGAGAGCAACTGGCCGTTGTTGACCGTCTCGAAAGGCTTCTTTGAGGGTGCAATGATAACGCGTGCTGGTACCAGCGCCACAGCTAGGCAAGCACTAAACGCCAATGCCGATGCAGCTGTTTTGGATGATGTCGGTGCAGGTGACGGTTGGGGCGCTGATGCTGATTTGGGTCTCGGTGACGATGGTGATGATGAAATGCATGATGCTTTAGATGAACCCGGCGCTGAAGGCGTTGGCGATGAGGGCGCCGGTTGGGATGTTGGCGACGATGATTTGGTAGTGCCCGAAGAACTTGCTTCGAAAATTAAAGCCTCAGCTTTGGATAACGGTTTCTATGCTGCACCAAATAAAGGACTTTCTGCCGCACAACATTGGGCTAACCATTCAGCACTTGTATTGGATCACGTTAAGTCTGGTTCATTTGAGTCGGCATTCCGCTTACTTAACGACCAATTAGGTGTTATTAACTTCAAACCATTCAAAACGCTATTTCTACAGAATTACACATGTGCACGCACCAGTTTTACAGCCATGCCCAATTTGCAGCCATTAACCGCATATCCACTGCGTAACAGCGGCGAAAGCAATCCTAAGAATCAGCGCCCAGCTTTGGGTGTAAAATTAAATGATTTAGTGCAGCGTCTGCAGGCTGGTTACCAATTAACTACAGGCGGTAAATTTACCGAAGCCATCGAAAAATTCCATTCCATATTGCTGCACATTCCACTGTTGGTGGTGGAAACCAAACAGGATATTGCTGAAACTCAGCAATTGTTAAAAATCTGTTCGGAATACATACTCGGTTTGAAGATGGAGACCGAACGTAAAGGTATGCCAAAATCTACATTGGACGAGCAGAAGCGACTTTGCGAAATGGCGGCTTACTTTACACACTGTAAACTGCAACCTGTCCACCAAATTCTGACGCTGCGCACAGCATTAAATATGTTCTTCAAACTCAAGAATTATAAGACCGCTGCATCTTTTGCACGTCGATTGCTTGAGCTGGGACCACGCCCCGAAGTGGCGCAACAAGTGCGCAAAATATTACAGGCATGCGAAGTCAATCCCGTCGATGAACACCAATTGCAATATGAAGAATTCAATCCATTCAATATTTGTGGCATAAGCTATAAGCCACTATATCGCGGCAAGCCAGAAGTGACGTGTCCCTTCTGTAGTGCTGCTTTCGACCCACAATACAAGGGCAACCTGTGCACAGTCTGCGAAGTGAGTCAAATCGGCAAAGATAGTATTGGCTTACGCATATCGAATTTACAATTTCGTTAAATGTTAGCAAGAAGTTATATGGCGCTAGAGTGCCTCGGTTTTAAGCGGAACGTCAATTGCAGGCAATCAATTCAATAAGTTTAGTTGATAATTTTACATAAATCTTAGAGCTACATACGTATATGTGTTTGCCGTTTATATTATATTGTCTATCTGTATATGTATCTCATGTTATTCCAAACATGTCATTGAAATGGACCTAAGCATAAAAAATGTTTCAATGAAATTACGATATTTAAAAATATATCTTGATTTTCAAAATAATAAATGTAAGTTTTTTCAGTGTATGCTCTAATTTGCCGTTGTCATTTAACTGTTCAACCGCAAACTGATTTAACCACACGTGAGAAAATGTATATAAATGAATATTCCACCGAATCAGGGTTACTATTTGATAAAAGGTCTTTGTGAAGAAGGTTATAAATTAAAAGCTATACTTTGAATTATGAGGTGGCTTCGAAATGGAAAGAAGTATTTCGACCTGGATCTGTCATAACAGAGAAAAGAAAAAACATAAACTTCGGTTGCACCAAGCTACAATACCCTTCACAAATACAAAATTTTCCATGCAAGAACTTGATTTTGATCGTTCATTTTGTATGGCAGCTATGAATATGCATTAGAGGTCCGATTTGAGCAATATTTTCGAAGATTGTAACGTTATCTTAACCAATAAGCCATACCAAATTTCGTGAAGATATATCGTCAAATAAAAAAGTTTTCCATACAAGGAGATGTCTTTGATCTTTCAATTTATATGTACAATATTAATATATTATATACTAGTTCGCGTATATACAGACAGACGAACATGACTAAATCGACTGTGCTCGTCACGTCAATAAAAGAAATTCGACAAACGAAAACGAAGCTTACATTTTCTTGGATTCTCTAAATCTCGTAATAAGGTGAACAAAACCATTGCTGAGCGTAGAGAACGACGATTCCGTTTTCCGTTCCCACGACAGTCGGGTCTACGTAACCGGAACGGACCCAGATTTTAACCGGTCAAGGACTGTCAACTCGGCAGAATTCTGCCGCTACAACAACAACACGATTAAATAACTATCTGTTTCTTATAGTTTGTAGTTTAATGTATATTCGCTAATCAATCAAGTAATACATTTTTGCCAGGTGGAAATTTAATTGATATAAAATAAATACAATTATTAGTATTAGACGTAATACATATTTTGCACAAATTAATACTTGATTAAAACAAAAGCCGCCATTATTATGCTTAAAATTAAATTAATAATAAACTAATTTATGCGGTTCTAGTGGACAAAAATGTTTTTCTAAACATTTAAAAAGGTATTCGAGTATATTATTTGGCTTATAATAAATAGTTAAGTCGGTACCATTGATCAGATTGAGACTGTGTCAATGGTTATAGCGCTTTTCGGCTGCAATTTAGATTAGAAACCCCCGAAATCGACGTGAATACTGATATGGGCTAATTGAGAAGGTTTTTCAGATTATATATTATAGTTTTACAAATATTTGTGTTTGACGTTTATAATTTTAAAATTGAAGTATGAAATTTTTCGATTTATAATAAATTTTACACTAATACAATGCACTTTTCTTACGTAAACACTTCACTAAATTCTTTTTACATATTTCTGTATGAATAATTGTAAAAATAGCTCTAATTCAATATTTAACCTTTATTCACTCCGATTTACTGACACAATAACAAAAGCTTTGCATGCTAATAAATAATACATATTTTGCAAACGAATTAAAATAAAATAAAACAGAAAGAGCCTTCTCTATCAGCCCAAATCCATTTCCTCGAATTGGGGAAGGGAGGTTCTATTCTAAAGTTAACCCCGCTTTTCTCTCTCTACAAAGTTAACGTCTCCACATACTAGCACCAACACCAATGCCACCTGAGGGTACACCACGGCGTACAGCTTCCATATCGACTTCTGGTCGGCTATCACGATATGCTCGTTTAGAATCCTCGAATTCGCGGAGTCTCAAATTATATCGTTCGATTTGTTCGCGTAATATTTGGTCTTCGTGCATTGCACGTCGTTCATCGAACTCCAGACAGCCCGAACCATCCAAACGTTCCAAATCTAACCAACCACGAAAACGCACGCATACGCCATTCATTATAAAGTACGATTTTATATACACCTTTCCGTGCTCTTTATCAAAATCGCATTCCTTATCATGCAAATATGGGTTTTGGGTTGCGTTAAAAACAAGTTGTAGATTCGTACCGGATGCCACAAATGAGATTTCAGTATGACCCTCGCGACACCCATTATGGAAACGCATTTGACGTTCCTCTTGAGCGCGCTCGCGATAGCCAGTATAACGGATTTCACTTTCTCGGCTTAAGCGACGAAAGAGTTCATCGCTTTCAAATTTAGCCTTTTGATCGGGCACCACACGCGGCATTTTAAAAATGAAACGCGGCCTTTAAGTATAACATTACTAAAGAATTACATATGCATATATTTTTAATTATAATCCATTTACCTGGGCTGCTCATAGATACCGATGGGGTCGTTGTAAATCATGCTGGCCAATGCTGCCTCATTCATTTCAGACAAAGTGATTTAACTGTCTATATATTTAATTATATTCGAATATTGTATTATCTTCTTTTAATTTATAGACAGGATTCTTAAAAGTTTAATTTATCTACAGCAGAAACGCACACAAAATTCAATAAATACAACTGCAAATAGTTGTTTTTCCACTTTTCTGTTGTTATACTAACATTTTTGCGGTTTCGTAGGGTTGCATTTTTTCTCACTTTCAGACTCAAATTTTTTTTGTTTGGTTTTTTGGTTACCAAATTTCGAGTTCGAATATTTTTAATAAACATTTCTTGTGTATTCCGATATAATTTAAATATATCCCAAAATCGCAGAACAAAAATGGTTAAATATATTTTAATTTCCCAAGTTGTTACTAATTATGAATCTCATCTCACATAGTTCAATGCCACAGAGTAAATCGCTATTAGAAATTTTTATATACGTGTTTGGATTTGTATTAAAATATCATAATTTGATATGCTTTATTATACAGTGTCTATATATATTAATAAATGTTCCTACGTAAGTATACAGTACCTAAAACCTCCCTCACATAATTGCAATTAAAAAATCCCTCTATCGAAATGAGAAAATGATACACTGTCCGTATTTGACATTTAACTTCATTGCACGTGTATTATTTTATGTTTTGTATTATACTCGTAAATATTGAATGATTTTTAAAAAAAATTTTATTTAAAAAATATCTAACAATTATTAACAAATGGCGCCAAACACAGCTTCTGCAGTTAGTATTACGACGAAACCAAAAAATAAAAAAATTGTATTTGGCGATGATGGAGAAGTCTTGGATGAGACCGCTGTTAAAAAACTGAATGCCGAAAAAAAGGAAAAGAAGAAAAAGTTTAAATTAGATAATTCGGAACAAGATGTAAAATCTGAAGATGAAGCACAAGCAGAGGATGACGAGGATGATTACTTTGCCAAACGCGACAAGCAGCGTCAAAAAAAGAAAGACGAAAACAATGAGGCGGACACAAATAAAAAGTGGTTCAATGTGGTAAGTATTTATTAATCTCCTGTAAAACTCAGAACGTATTTGAATATGCAATTGATTTATTATGTAGTTTCCTGATTATCCTTCATCAGAGGAGGTGCTGGACATGAAACAGCAAGAACAATTAGAATTACACAACATATGCCAGAACGCTTTCGATGCTGAAATGCCAACATTCTTAAAACGTAAATAGTCTTATCTTATTAAAGTAACGAGAATACTACAAATATTTCACCCTTCAATAGACAATGCCTCAGATGCGCGTTGGTTGCAAACTGCTCTACGTAAAGGCACAGCTAAAGATCGAGCTAATGCCGGTGCCTTATTAGTCACAAGTAATCCCTTAGCAAATTTGGAGGCGCTAAGTATTTTAATTGGTTTTACCAAAATGTCGAATAAATCATCAAACGAGGTGGTAACTATATTGGTAGATTTGTGGAAAAAAGTTTTGCTGCCACCGCATCGTAAACTTTTATCACTACAAATGCGTGGTGCTGACTGGAAATTGGTGCGAAAAAGTACGAATTTAAGCAAAGAAAGACAACAACGTATATATGCTTATTGGCACTTCGAGAATGAATTAAAAGAACACTACTTTGGTGAGCACACAATAAAATCAAGTTAATATTTTTTATTATCATATTATCACTTTTTTTAGAATTCCTAAAAAATCTACAGCAGGCACTTCAGACGGGGCAGGAACATAATAAGAATGCAGGCATTGTAGCGGCATCGCAACTGTTATCTTTCGCACCAGAAAAAGAACAAATGTTACTAACACTGCTGATCAACAAACTGGGTGACCCTACTGCTAAAGTCGCCTCAAAAGCATTGCACCATCTTACAGAAGTCGCTCATCGACATCCGAATATGTGTGGTGTAATTGTTGCCGAATCTGAGAAGCTGCTCTTCCGTAACAATATCTCTGATCGTGCTCAACATTTTGCCCTCTGCTTTCTGGCCAGTATTGCACCGGCAGGTCGGCCTGAAGTTTGCTCAAAATTAGTAAACGTCTGTTTCGCGCTGTTCAAAGTGCTTGTAAAGAAGGGCGCTGTAAATAATCGTACCATGCAAGCAATTTTACGTTGCTTACAAAAGGCCATCATAGAGGCAAAACCCGGACAAGGCTCTACGGAAATACTCAGCAAGGATATGCAAGATACTATCTATCGTCTAGTGCATTTGGCAGATATACACGTTGCAGTACAAACACTGGGTTTACTTTTACAATTGTTGACTGTGAAAACCGAAAAGTCAGACCGTTTCTACAATGCACTCTATAAGAAAATGAATGACTTGGAATTAGTGAATATTGGTGCTAAAACCGCTGCACAATTACTGCATATCATCCATCGTGCCATACATATAGACTCCAATTTGCCGCGTGCGCAAGCATTTATCAAGCGCTTGCTACAGTGTGCGCTCTATATGCCAGCAAACACAGCGGCTGGTTGTCTAATTGTCGTACATAAATTGGTGCGCAGCCGCAAAGAGTTGGCCAATGGCATAACGCATTTTAGCTATGATGAAAAATCTGCCAACGATTTGCCAAAAGCTCCACAAGTGCTAGCAACTGATGCAGAATTAGCCAAGTTTGATAGCGACGGTGAGGAAAAGTATGAGGATATTCGCGATGAAGCAGAAGTGGCAGAGAAAATTAAAAGCGACGAACCTGCGGAAAATCCCTCGACCACATCGTCGTGGCATCACGCAAAGGTGGCTGCAACTGCTACTGAGGAAAAAGTACGTGATATGGCACCAGACAAATATGACCCATATCATCGGGCGCCTTCCTTTGCCGGCGCTGAGTTTGCATTGCGTAATGAATTACTGCTGTTGCGCGAACATTACCATCCCACAATTCAAGTGTTTGCCGATAATATATTGAACCGTAGGTGTTCACTTTAAACTCAAAAATTTATATGAATAATGTTAATAATTTCGTTTGATTTTCATTTGCAGAAAAGAGAATTGATTATTATGGCGATCCTCTGCGCGATTTCGGTTTACCACATTTTCTAGAACGTTTCGCCTTCAAAAACCCCAAAAAATTGGATAACCAAAAGGATGAGGCGCCTATAATATCGCATAAACGCTATGTCTCATTCGGCACGCGTGGTAAACCAATAAAAAGTTTGACGAAGTCGAACTGCACTGAGGACGAGATGTATATTTTCAATTTCCTTGAACAAAAACGCGCACAAGCCGCAACGAATAAAACCAAGAAGAAGGCTGATGATGTCGAGAACGAAGATGATGGTGAGCTACTTAAGGAAGGCGAAGTGGGCGATGATGAATTTGAGGAATATCTTGGCAGTTACTTTGGCAAGAAAGCTAAAGCGGCAGCTGACGCTGAGGATGCTGAAGAAGAAGAGCTAGATTTCTTAAAAGAATTAGGTGGCGCATTACAGTCACAAGACAAAAGCAAAAAGAAAAAGAAAGCTGGTAGCAAAGATGATGATGAGGATGCTGTGGCAGACATTGACGCGGATTGGGGTGATGATGATATCGAAGAAACTGATTTCGCCGGTGGCAGTGATGCATCTGACGATGAGGACGGCTCAATTAATGAAAACTATGACGAAGATGATGATGTTGATGACGACGATGGTTCAATATCACTTGCTGATGAGGATGCGCCAGCTGATCTGAGTGATGAAGAAGAAGATGACAGCATGTCGGAGGATATGAGTGGCGCAGAAGATGAAGATGATGATGAGAGCGATTTTGCTGCTTCGAAAGGCAAAAAGTCACAGAAACGTACACTAGCTTTGAATGGGAAGAGCTTCGCAAAGAAACTTAAGCATAGTGATGGTAAGTAAAATACATTAAAGTAATTGCAACTCTTTATTAAATGCCTCGCATATCATTTGCAGATATGAGTTCATTGTTCGCGGCAGCCGACGATTTCGCTGAACTATTAGAAGAAACGGGCAAAACTAAGGGACAAGGCACTTCGCAAGCAATTTTCAATAAGGATAAATCATCAGCGAAACAATTAAAATGGGAGGAGAAGCGACACTCCAACTCGAAATCATACACAAAACGTTCGAAGAAAGGTGGTGTGAGTAAAAAAAATGTTACCAAAAAAAGAAAATAAATAAAATTAGACACTTAGTTGAAGCTGTTAATTTTATAAGAAATCAATAAAAAAAACAATAGTAATAAATTTAAAAAAAAAAAACTCAAACTCATTTTTAGCAGTGAAAAACATATCAGTGGGAAGCGCATAAAGAAGTCAGCGATATTAAATATAGCAACTGGCCCTTCTTCACGAATTTTAACATAGTTTATTGCCCAAGGCAACGTTACAATCTCCAAACAAATTTTTTAGATCGGACCACTATAGCAAATAGCTGTTATACAAACTGAACGATCAAAATGAAGTTCTGGTATGAAATATTTTGTATTATAGTTTTAGTTAACGTCTTCTAGGCGATGCACTCGGCTACTCGCATGCTCGTCGTTGCCTAAATGAAAAAAAAACTGTTCCCTTTTCTGAATTTTGCTATAAATGAAAGTACCTTTGCATCAGTTATTTTTGTTGTTGGTGTTAATTTAATATTATTTATAATTTTTTTCTACATGCAATATACATACATACTTACATACAATTTTGTAACAGTTTAAATTTGCATTTATTGTATATAATTTATATATATATATACTATATGTTTCTTATTTTTAACTAACTTAATTTTATAACTAATTTATATCCGATTCAATTGCTTACTAGAAAAAGTTGTTATCAATACTTTGCACTACTTTTATAATTAATACTAAATATATATTATTTTAATCTCTATTTGATCTTAACCAATTTCATGAAATATAGTCATGGTTGCTTATTCTACTTCTATATAGTATATTTTGTTTACGCACATATACTATAAGTACATATATATGTATATACATATAAATATCTAACTATACGTGTACAAGCTCTTTCATAATCGATCATTTTTTCTATCTCTCTCCCTCTCTTTGGCTGTCTCTCTTACAACACATAATATTTGTTCAAGCTATATTAAGAGTATATATGTACTTGCACCTAGTTACATATATTGCCTTTTTTCTTGCATGTTTCGCCTCCATATTTGTATAGTATGTTTTGCGCTTAATCATATTTATTTGAATTTTTTTTTTTTTAGTTTTAAGGCAAAGGAAATTTTGTTCACACATATGTACATATGTATTATGCATATATACATACATTATTGAATAAAATCTTAAATTACGATATAAGTTGTTGTTTTGACTTACTAGCAAACACACTAACTCATGAGAATCAAAATTTAAAAAAAGAAAACAATATTAACATGTTCGGGATATTTTTAAGAAAAAAAATTAGATATTAAATAAAATATTAAATTGCGTTTTGACATTATTAAAATGTATATATATATTTTTAAGAAAAAAAACTAAAATGTGTTTCGGGATTTACCAAATGAATTTAATTTGACAAAAAAAAATGTGTTGCGGGATTTTCAAAATTTAATGTATTTTTAAGAAAACAAAAAAATACAATAAAATATAAAAAAAAATATTAAATGTTTTGAGATTATCAAAATTGTTTTACTTTTGAGAAGAAAAAATTAAAATGTGTTCCGGATTTATCCAAATGAATTTATTTAGGAAAATAAAACATTAAAATGTGTTTCGGGATTTTCAAATGAATTTATTTTTAAGAGAAAAAATTGAAATGTATTCGGGTAAAAATTAATGTATTTATAAGAAAAAAAAATAATAAAGTGTGTTTCGGAATTATCAAAATGAATTTATTTAAAAAAAAAAATTTAAATGTGTGTTCAGGATTATCAAAATTATTTTTAGGAAAAATAAATAAACTGTTTGGGCATTTTCAAATGAATTTATTTTTAAGAAAATAATAATAATAATGTGTTTTGGGATTGTCAAAAAGAATTTGTTTTTAAGAAATGATAAATATGAATTTAAAAAATCGCAAAAATAAATTCAAATAATATTGAAAGTCTTATAAATGATTTTCCATAATATTTCATTATCTGTTTTCGTTTCATAGTATATAATTTATTTGTATTTTTTGGTGTTTTCTGATATTAGTATCAAAAAAGTTTGCACAAATGTTGCACTGTGGCAACATTTGCTTTTGTTTAATTTGTTATTTTATTTATTTTCCACTTTTTTTCTCTGATATAAGGCAACTTTTATTTAAAGGCATCATTAATTATAAATGTTTTGCTTTACCTTTTTTTACTTAAATACATACATATATAATATGAACGTACATACATATGTATGGATGTATGTATGTCTGTACAAGTGTTTATTTTTGGTTTTGCACAAAAGAAGTTATATGATCATTTATTAATATTTTAGAAGTTTCTGTTTTCGAAGTTGCATTTGTTGCTTAAGTCATATTTTATTTATTTTTCAAACTCCGATATGCATTGTTATTCTTAAAAAACTGCGTAATGGTAATTAAGCTATACATACTGGTACATTGATATCTAAGGTTCTCTTGACGTCGTCTTTTCCTACTCATACATGCATAAAAATGGAAACCTTAAAGGAAATTCAAATATGTATTCAGTAATTTATAATTCTTTGCATGAAATACACAAATGTGTTTGTATGCATTTATATAGGTTATTAATGAGATATTTACGGGTTTACTGTATTTATTTTATATTTATTTATTCAATTTTTTTATTTAAAAAAATATATGCAGATTTAAACAGATTTTGATTGCTGTCCTTTTATCAATATTCATATTTTACTTAATTTTATTGTTATTCCACTATTTTTTTTATAAAGTATGCATATATTATATCTTATATTTAATATATTTACTGATATATATTCACTTTTGACTTTTATTCATGCAAATAAAAATTGTAGGCTTGTATTTATATACATTTTTCCCTATAATGGCTGTGTATCCTATTTTGGCAACAGTATAACATAAAATTTTATTTTTTTTAATTATTATTTTTTTTTGAAATATTTATTTTTACTCTCAAAATTTTTCATTAATAAATAAATAAGTTAAACAAAGTTTACTTTGACAATAAGTTAATTCAAAGTGTGATTTTATATTTTTGTTATTTAACTTTTTGGATGTACATTTAGGCGTATTCGAATAGTTTTTCAGTTCTTCTAAAATTTGGGAGAAATTAGAAAAGAGCAGTAGACACACTCTAAAAATATTTAAAAAAAAATGTATTGAAATATTCCCGTTGTTGTAATTGTAAAAAAAATGACAAATTGTTAATCTTCATCATATATAGCTATAAATCGGAATTGCGTTCAATCCAAGGACATGGAAAAGTATAAGTATGCATATATCAATATCTATATGCATATTTCCACTCGATACTTGGTCAAGCTCTATTTGCGATCTAGGCGTTGTCCGAAAAATGGAAATGTTTACAAACTAATAAATTTAAAATTGATCCGGCAAATAATTTCGGAGATAATAGCGTATTTTTAAGAATATTTTAACTTGGTGTAATCGGTTCCCAAAACGTTAAATGTGTTTTTCTCGTAACGATGTTTTCAGAGTCGGTGAACTAAACATCTACGAAACGACTGAAACCGATCGATTTGAAATCTTCAAACGACCTCCTTAGATATATTTATCAGGCAATAATCGAGGGAACACGATTTTGACAATAATTTCGATTAATGCACTCGGAAGTAAAATTTTTTTCACAAAAAACGACGTTTTTTCTGGCAGCCGTCATTTTGTCAAATAGCGAAATTTAGATTATTCCTTCAATTAGTATCAGTATTCAGCTGTTGTAATCATTTTTTTTCGATTTGAGATAATTTATTTTTTAAGTTCAAGGGAATTTAAAATGTTTCAAAATGAACGACCGATAATTAAAGTACATTAAATTCTGTACATGTACATTTTTTAAATTTATTTTTTAATAATAAATGCCTTTTCCAAAAATTTTCACAAAAAACGCGTTTTTTCTGATTCGTTTGTAGATATAACCCCTTAATGGTTACCTAGTACCAATTCAAACAAGGTTAGATCGCCGAAATAATAGTCAATTTGTTGCATATAGCAAAATATATATTCCATTCTCTCGTAATATACGAATATATAGCACCTTCGTATGTAGACTCGCTTTTTTTTTGTGACCATCTTTTAGGCGCTTTGTTGTTTCTTGAAAAAATGTCTACTACCAAACAAGTATTGAGTTCAAATATCGGAGGCTAAGTATAAGGGCGATAAAAAATAAGCAATATCATACAAAATCCTTTATAAATTTTACAGAAATAAAATCAAACAAACTTAAACACATAATAATAAATGAAATAAACACAAGATTAAAATTTTCAAAACAAAATTTATTATTAAGTAATGCGTTGTAGTTTTTTTCGCGCTTGCAAGTAATTTAAAGTAAAGTAAAATAAAATATATTATTTTTATCATTATGCTCGTATTACATATACATATATTGTGTAGTTGAGTAAGATAATTGGCGTTAAAAGTACAATATTTTTTAATTAATTAATTAGATTCTGTTAAATGTAATGCCAACATACTTAAATAGAAGAAAAATTACAATCAAATTTATAGTAAAGCTAAAAACGAACAAATGTAGCTAAATTCAACTTATATGAATATAAACAAAAATATTATGTTAACTGAAAAGTTTAATAATAATAATATTAATAATATGTAAATTGAAAACAAAAAATAAACGTTATATTACCCTTGGGTAAATTGTTGTAATTCAGTATTAATATATATGTGTGCATATTTTGGTAATTTCTTTTAATATTTTACTAGAATTTATGCTTACTTTATAAACAAAAACAAAAAAAAAATAAAAAATTAACTAGACTAAATAAATTTACGTGATTTGAGCTAGGAAATTATTTTATGTATGTATATTTTCGACTCGTGGACGCAAATACACTGGCTTTGTTAATATATTTCGTTACTTAAAACTTTTTACATATATATATATATTTTTTTTCGAATTTCATTTGCAAAACTCGATTTTTAGACTTCATGACGATAATTGAAGTTTTGAAAAATTATATTCCTTCTGTGTTTGACTTAACATAAATAGTATGGACCCTATACATACATAGTTATACATTTGTATGCACAAGGCTTCACATAATAGCAATAAAAATAGCAAACATTTTTAAAATTTTTTTTTTCAAAGTATGTATGCAAAGAATGCAAAAAAATTGTATTGGTGTTTAGATGCTTACATTCAACTATACACAAAGTAACTGTACAGAGATGTAATAAATGGAAAATGCAATTATGCGAACGCGTCAGCTTGTGTCAATTGATTTATAATATTTTTAGAGCTTTATATGGATTTGGGAATATTTCATATAACCGATTTAAGACAACGAAAACTTAACGTGAGCAACTGATTCGTTTGTTTTTTTAGCATCAGCACCATAAATAAAGTAGCCGCCAGCCATCTTTTGATACCGCTTCCTAAAATGGCTCAATAATTTGAATTTTTGATAGAATTGTGTTTATGTAGGTAAAAATGGCATACGGTCGTGTGTTGCGAAAATAATCTTAGCCGTTTTATATTTAACGAAAAGAGAAACTTATAAGAGAAAAGAGTTTGAGCAGTGAAAAATTTTTGTTACAGAAAGTTACGATAAAGTTTATATATACATATGTATATACTTTACACTTGAAATATAGGTATACTGTCATTTCTTGTGAGTGAGTGAGTTGGAAGATGTCCATACGTATATGTCAAATTTTTTCATTATAAAATTTCACAAAACTTTCATTTTGCCATAATTTTATAATTGCCAGTTTTACAAGCCAATTTTAATTATACATCGACTAAGTTGTTAATCAAAAAAAAGTTAATAAAGTTAAAAAAAAAAAAATTTTAAATAAAATAGAAAAGAAAATTTTTTAAATTAAATTTAAAAAAATTATTAAAAAAAATTAATATTAATAAAAAAATTTAAAAACAAATGTGTTTACTTCTAATTGTTGTGTATTAAGTTATACTCATTGTATATAACAATATGAGCTAGCATTATAAATTCGCAGCATTTTCTGTGGCGTGAACTAAACATAGCTTTACTTTTGTTCTCTTTTCAACTTTCTTAAAAAAAAATTTTGATTATTTTAAATTTCATATGTAAGTGTTGTTTTTATGCTTTAATAAGCACTAGCATAATCGTATTAACAATTTTTATTTAAATTAACTCCATTACATTTTGCTTTAAGACAACTCGAGAAGTACACTTTACTTAGACTTAGTACATACGTATCTGTTTTGGTGGCCATAATTTAAATAACGTTATAATCGTTTGCTAAATATATTCAATTTTCTCTTTTATTATGAATTTTAATAATTTTTTTTATGTATGTAATAATTAATATTAATTTTTTTTTTTTTTTTGATATACAAACTAATATTACGCATATATGTATTTATGTGTATTCCGTTTGCTTTGCTTAGTGTTTTTTGTGTTGTAGACACGTAAAACTGTTTGGTTTTGCTAAAATGTTAGGTTTTTTTTTCTAATTTTGTTTATTGTTTACCGTTCATATATGTATGTATATATACCGCGTATATTACTAAAATTAAGATCAAATTGTATACATTTATTTATGTATTAAATATTAATGGAAATTATAGTAAACAAATCGATTTTTGTTGGCTATGCAGGCGCCATTCATATTATTTGGCGAATTTTCCACTTCAGCTGTTTAGTTTTTTCTTTTGTTTTTATATGCATATTTATAACTTCATTCTATTTTCGTTTTTGTTTTTGGTCTCGTGCAAATATTTCATTGAGATAAAAACTTGTATAATCGCATTCATCTCAATTAACTATTACTAAAAAAATATGCATTTGTTCCTTATTTATTTAATAGCAGTCATTACCATAACTTTTGTTTTTTTTCACGTTTCTTCGGTATTATTATTATTTTATTATAATATTTATTGCTCACATCTTTAAATATCGTTTAAATTGAACTATAGGTACAATAAGCTTTTCAACGCTGTATTCATTATATTAAATACTAATTACCGTTTTAGTACTTGCAATAAAATATTATTGACAGTTAGTTTATACATACATAGAAAGTAAACACTGTGCGTGTAATAAGAATAGTGATTAAATGCGTTGTGAAGAAAAAACTAATTCAATGGTATTCAAGCAAAAAAGAAACAAACAAAAAATTAAGAAAAAAAACGGATAGTCGAATTTCTAATTGAGATTCGTGCAGCTTTATGTGGTTGTATATTTATACCTGAGTTTTACTTTCAAACACTGCACTCAGTTGAATTAATTTACCACAATTGAAGTAATGCAACAACAATTTCCCTAATTAAACTGGGTTATAATGACGAAATTTAGGGTGTGACTATGTCAAGATTGCAAATAATGCTCAACAAAATTAACATTGACATTTGAACTATTATTTTTTTTTGTAATCACTAAAATCTTAAAGTAATTCTTAAATTTTTATCTCGAAGGGATTGAAAAAAAGTTGTAATCCTCAAATACCGGATTCAATTTTTACTAATTAATCAAAAAATTAAATTTCAAATTTACAAGCATGGATTAACAATTAAATTTTTAATTCCGATTTTGTGATTAAACATAAAAATTCTAATTTTTTTTTCCAAAATTTTTGAACTAATAATTTGCAACCCTGACCTCAATGTAGTAAACGCAAAACTAATTAACAATTAATCCTCGGCAATACGATGAATTAAGCGCACTTCAACTATATATAAATTTTCATAATTGGATTATACTTGGACATAACTATTTTAACTAAATTATTTCAAAATCACACTATACAGAATAAAAAGAGAAATCAAATGCCACTGGTTGAAAGAAAAAATAAATTTACAAAAATGCGTATAACCATTTAAAATGACGTTTGCATAATATTAATGTTTCAAGAGTTGTTATTAGAAAAAAAAAGTTTTAACGCATTTAATATGTACACTTCTTCGTTACACGCAAAGCTTCAATAGCCTATCATTCCCGTTGGCTTTAAATGAAAACATAACTGAATTTATAAAAAAAAGTTTTGAAAAGTAAATATATAGTAATATTGACCATATCTATAGCCCACTATGAATTCTAATTCCACCATAATGCGCATTAGATGCGCCAATCATTTATATACGTGACGTTGACGCAACGTACGTAGCGTGCCAACCGGCACTAAATGCACCGCTGTCGACGGTACAACCTCCTTAATGTTACTTCCATGGTTGGCATTCTGATTCCGACTTTGGCTGTGTTTGTGTCGCGCTTGTTTTTCCGCATTAGTCATGGCCTTGAAGGTTGCATTTGATATGGGTGTAATGATTTCGCTATTTTGTTGTTTTGGAAGCATTTCCTTAGTGTCCACACTGATATTGGCACGCCTATCACTTTGTTCGCCTTCATTATTTCCCCTTTTTATGTCATATGTATGTATAGTGTTAGTGATTGCTGTGTCCTGTTCCTGTTGCTGAGTTTCACTCCCTCCTTCTGGTGTTTGGTATTCGTAGTATCGGCGTTCGATTTTGAAATAGCGTAATGCATTTTGTGTGCTAAATAGCAAAAGCGTGAAAAAGCGATAACGTGCTTTAAAGCGTTGCGCATATTTCGCACGCATTTGCGTTGATACACCGAGCCAGTTGTTTTCATCATCGTATGTGGGTATGCGTACACTACGTCGGTTACGGCGTGGTCGTATGGTTTTCGATTCGACTGCCAATGTCAACTCAGATTTGCTACTCATACTGTCTTTTTCAGTGCGTATTTTCTCTTCTTCTACGTCAGTGTTTGACACTAACTCTAACTCACTTTCCTGTTTTAGTGTGTCCACTGTCGCTTTTTTACTCCTAGCGCCAGTCTTACTTTTCTTATCAGCCAATTGCTTACGTGTGCGCAATTGTTTTACATTTCGTTGCTTTATTGTTTTATTCCTACGTAGATCCTGCGTTTGTTCATTTGTCTCCAACGGTTTTGCCATTTGATTATTATTCGTTTTATTTGTTTCGTTAGCCAAATAATTCATTTTCAGTTCGCTAAACGCTTTCTTAGCTTTAATACCAGCGCTTTTCTTAATTGCACTTATATCTCCATTTGTCTTTTCAACGACTGGTTCAGTCTTCATTGGCTCTGCCACATTTTCTATTGATTGATTCTCGTCAATATCAACTGTAGCAGTCTTATTCTGCTCAATCTGTGCTAGTAGTATATCAATATAGTTAATTTTACGTTCTATAATTTCGTCTTCGTCGAAACCAGCAAATTCATTCACTTCCACTTCATCCTCTAGCATGCTATCGTTCAGTTCGTCGGCGCTTACAGTCTTTTCGCTAGTAACACACTCAAGTTCAATGAGTTCACCGCACTCAATTGGTTCTCCACTTGCTTCCAGCCCATTCAAACTATTTACACTTAATGTTTGGCGTTCGATTAGTGTGTGGTCAGAGGATTTACTACGTCCTAGACCGCTGGTTGTGTCACCTTCAGACTCGAGACGGTTGTGTATCGATTGCGTATCGGATTCGTGCGATGAGTTGGCTTGTTGTTGTGCCTGCTGTTTTTGCCATTCCTTATAGTTGTCCAGTTCATCAACTTCCAGCACGGCTGGTTGCTGTTCTTCTATTTCGCCTACTTCTTCTTCCTCCTCTTCAACCACTTCATTTCTTTCAGTATTAACACTCTCTATATCTTCATACACCATATTTGCATCAGCACCCTCCACGCTCATATTATAGCCTACGAGTTCATCTACAGTCGTCACGACAGCACATTCTTCCGTCAGTTCGGCTACCGCCACAACCTCATCCCTTTCTCTGGTAACCACTTCCTCAGCATCATCATTCTCATCAGCAGAGTTTTCAACTTCTTCCGATCGTTGGCGATTCAAACGACACAGCACCTTTTGCAGTTCATCGAATTTTGCGAACAGGAACTGATGTCCAAGCAATCCTTCAACGGACGCACGTTTGACGGACTCACGTTGCAAACAAAAGTCGACAATTAGTTGTCTCAATGCAGGTTTGGCATTCTTCCAACGCGGCGATTTGGTTTGCATTTCAACATCTATTATGCGCTGTCTCACGACACGTTCATGTATTTGCTCATTCTGACTGCGTCTGAATGGCGGATGACCCATGTACATGGCGTAAAGTGTTGCGCCGAGACACCACACGTCATAGGCTTTGGAGTACGTTGTGCATTGTGGATCTGCAAGACTTTCTGGCGGTGCATAATCGAGTGTATAACGAGGCACATCTTGCCAAGTGTCGGCCTTGGAGTTGTAGCTGAAAATTAAAATTAAAAAAAAAAAATTTAAAATCAATAAAAATTTGCAATAACAATATCTTCGTAAACTCACCTGGCTGAACCGAAATCGACCAATTTGATACGTTTCATTTGCGTATCGGTAAATAATATATTTTCAGGTTTTATATCGCCATGTATAAAATTCTTTGAGTGCAAATATTGCACAGCATCACAAATTTGTAGGAAAATATCACAGCATTGTGACTCAGAGAGACCACCAGACGCATGTACCAACTGTTGCAATTCACCACCAGCCACATGCTCCATCACAATCCAAATGCTCGAGCCATTACGGTATGTATCAATATATTTACAGATATTCCGATGATTACAGGATCTCAAGGCATCTACTTCCGCAGGGCGATATAGTTTTTCTGGCACCACTTTAGCCACGTGATTACAATGCTTTTCGGTGTCAGTTAGTGTGTAGCAGCTGCCGAAGCTGCCATTGCTCAAAACGCTACCCAATTGAAGTGTGGGCGGACTGTTTTTTGGATTCTAAAAAGATGAGTGCGTGGTAAATAAATTTGAAATATATAAATTTAAATATGTGGGCTCTTACCATCACCGGCTCTTTGCAATACTCAACGTCATAAACGTTTTGCGTCACTTTGCGCGATTTCAAGTGTTGCGGCGCCACATATGAGTAGCCGCGGAACAATCTATGCGTATTAACAGGAACCGGAGCTGGAGAATCAATCACTGGTTGTTTGGTAAATTCCTCGCTAAAATTTTGTGTGTCATCTTCGCTATCTAAATTGGGTTTGAAGGGCGCTTTTCGTCTTTTACTCTTCAACTCATCCCAGTCGATACCTTTGAAGAAGGCATGCTTTTTGATTTCGGCAGCATTTTTATTGTTACCGCCTGGAAATATGTAAATATTTTTTATTAACATTAGACAAAATTAAAATTTAATAAAAAAAATTACTTTAATTTTTTTTTTTTAATTTAGACAATGCTTTTTATGTAGATTTTTCGTTTTCAAAAAAAACAAAAAAAAATTCAATTTATTTGAAGTTTTTTTGTTTACTGCTTTAACGCTAAGTATACTTTACAATTACATATACATATATATATTAAATTTTTATTTTTAATTTTGTTTATAAAACTCACCTAGACGCTTTTTGGGATCCTTATGTAACATTTTCAGTATAAAGTCTTTGACTGTATCATTCAATGTGGATGGCAGCACTGGGTCGACTTTTTGTATGCGACGTGAAATGTCGACTTGAGAGTTTTGTTGTTCGACAACGGTAAAAGGCGAAGCGCCAGTGAGCAATTCATATGTGAGTACGCCCACAGACCACCAATCGGCAGCGAGATCATGTCCAGTAGCACCAGCGCGTATGATTTCTAAAACAAAGACGATGGAAATTATTAATAAGCTATTTAAAAATATAAATATATGCGTCGTGTGTATATATACCTGGCGCCATGTATTCTAGTGTACCACAGAAGCTGTGCGCACGATGATCCGAATCGGGTTCGAAAATTTTTGATAAACCAAAATCGGCCAACACTATGTGCCCCTGTCCATCTAGTAAAATATTTTCGAGTTTTATATCGCGGTATATGATACCCAATTTGTGCAGATGCTCCAAAGCGAGCACTACTTCGGCAATGTAAATGCGTACGGTTGCCACCGAGAAATACTCGGCCGTATAAAGATGCGTAAAGAGTTCACCGCCACTGACGTAATCTATAAAAAGCAATATTCCATTTGAAGTTTAGACCATTCTTTGGAAATGTGGCATAAAGTGTCGTAATAGCTTACCCAAAATTAAATATAATTTCGAATCCGTTTGGAATGCATAATGCATGCCAACTAGGAATGGACTTTGTTGTATAGCCTCGAGAACCTGCAAATATTCAAAAGAGATTGCAAAAATGCATTAATTATTTTTTATAAAAAAAAAATTTCAGTGTAAATACAAATTTTTAAGAACGCCAAAAAATGTCGTCAGCAAAGCTTTATGCTAAAGGTTCCTTAGAAGAACTTGATTCAAACGGACAGACAGACTCAGCTCATCAATATGTATATATTTTATAGGGTGTCCGACGTTTCCTTCGGGGTGCTACAAACTTAATATACCCTGTTTAGGGTATAATTAAGTCGTATAATTTTAGGGCTTTGAAAGTTCTATATAATTTCTATTGCTAGTGTGGAGTTACGTCCACTTGTTTCAACCCGGTCTATATAAATATTTAAAGACTATACACAGTTTCAAAAATGTTTTTTCAATTGTTTAGTTACCGACTAGTTACTGTTCCAAATGAAACAGTTCACTGATTTACCACCTGTGGATTGACTGCATGATATGTACATATGTAACCGTATTTTTTGCGACGTGCTTTCTACTCTTTAGTATCACGTTGCATGATTTATATATATATCAAATAATATGTGTAAATACAAACATACCAAACATGTAAATACTCATATAGTGCTAATAAACCTCTAAAATATTGAGAAGAGTATTTTGTTTTCGTATTGGTACTCGCTCGTGCACTGCGTCGGCTGTAATTCTGAATATTCTATTTACGCACGCTCATTCTTTCTTTACGTGCATAAAAGCATACTCTATATATTATTTGTGGGTTTTTATGTATTCAATATATGTATGTATACATATTTATAGATATGCATTTTTGATCGGTGGATGTGCATTTTGTTGTGAACCATAAACGATGCCAACTAAAGCATAACAAAAGCACAACAACAATAACACGACTGATGTTGCAATTGAAGTTAATGCCTATGTACACAATATTTGAAAGCACAAAAATTTCGAAATCGAATAGAGAAAATTTTCGGTTCAAAATTTACAACGTTTAAATCGCCAGAAATAAAAAGAGCTTGATTTGAATATACAGTGCGCAGACCACTTGCAAAGGGCCCTGAAAAACTTAGTTATAATAGGAATCTATCATTTTGAGCTTACTTAGCAAAGTTTTTTTTTTTGGTGCTTCTTGAGGTTAACCAACAAGGCGAATGCTACACTTTTTTTTTCAAAACGGGTCCAAAAAACTATGCCCGTCACTTTACTTCTTACTTAAGGATAGTAAGTATTAGAATCCTTGACTCAAAAATGTAAGCCGAAATCAGTATTTTGTTTGCAATCAACTGGTTTCGATATTACCCTTTTTCCTTCGGAAAGCTTTTCCAACCCTAATATGTAAGTATGTTTGTATAAAATTTACACATATGTATGCACTTGCATGCAAGCAATTAATTATACAAATGAACATTCCTAAACATATACATAAATATATTGATTGCGTTAGCACAGTGTTGGTAGCAAGCAATAAAGTTGGGAAAGATGTTGTATTTTCAATTCGTTCTGCTTTCCATTTTGCTGAGTTCGTGCTTTACTTTCACTTCCATCTTTTTATGCCTACTTATTCGTACACTTATACATGCTTTTATGGTATATACTAAATTTCAATTTTAAATTCAGCTTTCTTATCTCGCCCAAAGAGAAGTTGCTGGAATTGACATAATAGTAAGACTATATGATTGTGTAGGAGTACGAGAACGTCTGTATACTATACATAAGTGTATTCGAGAAATCTTTTCAGCTTTTTATTGAACACATTGAAATTTTATTATATAGACAGTAGTTAGCATATAGTTAGGGCTCCCAAAAAGTAATAATTTATGAATTTTCGAATGAATAGTTTGTTCTCTTGGAAAAAAAATAACGCGCGCTAAAAATACAATTGAGTGGTCGGTCTGAAATTTTCAACAACTGGATTATTTTTTGGTTTAAAATAACATACTAAAATTTTGAATGAATATTTTTAATAGTTTTTGAGTTGTAGTTTTCTAAAGATTATTCTAAAGTGTGGCCACTCAGTTCATTCAGTTTATTAACGTTAAACGAGTTTTTCACGAATCGAAGACGAATCATTAATCAATTATCAATTTTTTTTATGTATGTTCTGTAGTTCCCCCTTTTTTACCTCATCAAAATTGAATTTTGGCAACAAATTTTAAATAAAATAGTTTAACGCCGCCATTTTGTAAATTTTTGAGCTTTTCGATCGAAGGCCTTCATACGGAAAATATCTTCTAGTATATCTAATTTTGTTTAGTTATTTGTTTTAATTTATTTTATCCAAGGAGTAAGCCGGATTCACTGCAGCAGTGGAGAACCTTGTCTTAGATCGTGTCTGACTCCAAAAATATTTAATTTTTTTCTTCAAACATTTTACAGTGTATTCTTAAAATATGTATAAATATACCTTTAAAATGTGATTGCTACAGTAGATTTTATATTAATTCTCGAAAAAAAAATTTTTTTAGGGTCTCACGAGGGTTGCGAATATTTTAATTTAAAAATTAAATTTTTATTTTTTAGTAACGATGTTGAAGACGTTAATTCTAAAACAAATTCTTAATTTTTAATTCTTAATTATGTGCTTAGAGTAAATTTTTTTTTTTTAATTTTTCAATCCAGTAGTTGAGATTATTTTTAATTTTTGGGATTAACATTTTCTTTTTTATTTCGTAACCCGTTGTGTGGAATTAAATTTTTTTATTTATTTTGTAATCCAAAATAAGGAATTAAAAACAAAATTACAAATAAGGGATTAAAAAACAAAAATTTAATAAAAAAGTTAATTAAATTATTTTTTAATGTATTATTTGCAACACTGCCTGTCACGGTAGGTGTGACTCTAAATGAAGGCTGTCAGGTTCTAAACATTCTTCAAATGTTAGAATAGTGAAAAAATTGCCCATGACCAATTCTAATGTCAACGTCGTCAGTAAAGATCTTCTTTAAAAAGCCGATTACGGAGTTGCCATTTTGTATCAAAACGTCGTCAATATAAAAAAGCTTTGAGTGTAACAAATGCATTTTCAATTAAGACTGACAGATAGAAATTTGCTTCCTTTTTCCTTACTTCCAAAATAAATTAACAAATTTTTAAACGTTTTTTGAGAGCTGTAGTTTAGCCTAAACGCCAAATCAAATTTAGTATTATCCAGCGAAAAATAGTCTAGTCAAATTTCAAACAACCCCAACCAATGGAGAATATTTCGATGTCAATATTGTCCCCAATAATGTGTCCACAACTGTATGTTTGCGAAAGAGATAGTATCATTTGGAATATTATGAAATTCTGAGCACCTTGGTTTTTTCCATCAACGTTTCACAAGTCGCATTGAGTTTTTGTTTTTAACATTCGTCACGTGCATGCATATGTGCATAAATATATACATATGTATATGTATACATAAGTGTGTACGTCTCATCACGTTCAAAGATTCCCGAGTGAGAAGAGCTAATAATATAATACGTTGGCTGCAGTGAAGATCTATTGAGCTGCCGATGACATGGCTAAACAATTAATCACAACAGGTAGCTATTGCAAACAAACATACATACTACATACATATATAGTATAAATGGTATGTAAATGAACGAGTGTGCATTTTTCTATATATTGTTGTTATTTATCCCGATAGGCAATAGCTCTGTCGCATTGCATTAAAAGAAAAACAATTATTATATTTGGAATCGATGGCCAACGACACAGTGCAAGCACTGCAATTCAGCCTAAATATGTACATAAGGCATTTGTATACATAGTATACATTTATAGTACATAGTATGCTAAACGTTATTACTTCAGATTCGTGTGGCTCGGCTGGCTTTGCGTTTGTTCTAGCAGCTACTGCTATTGGGGCTTATATGTATATTTAAATTTCGTTGTTGTTAAATACTTGGAATATTTTTAGCTTCAATGTGAATTCAACATTTACAAGGACTTTCAAGCATTTCTCGAAATACAAAAACGAAAAAAAAATAAAACAAAAAAAATATATATACATATTTGTATGTATATGCAATGTCAGCAACGCTTACTTATTAGCGGAGGCTTTGGATTTATTATTTTATTATTTATGGGTAATAATAAAGCAATCAAAACCGCAAAAAGTGTATAAGTATACTTATAAGTTTTTTAGTACATGACTATATGCATATGTACATTAAGACCAGAAAGTTTCCGTAAATTGTCATTTAAACTGGTCGCGCTGAATATTTTTCAGCACTTTTTTTGTTATGTTGGTAACACTGTCCTTAATTACTAAATCAAAAATAAGCGTGATCTTTCAACCAGTTTGTTTGCAGCAGCTGTTGAAATCAGTCGCCCTCAGTAGTGTTTTACGATGTTTACAATGGTAAAAAATATTTAACAAATAATTTGCATAAAATTTTGTGTTTCGAAACAAATTTTGTGCGCGGAATCGTTGCGAATGTTGGAAAAGGCTTGTGGTGAATCTATTCTATCGAAAACCCAAGTCTACGACTGGTATAAAGCCCTGAAGAATGGTCGAGAAACCATCGAAGACATGCCTCGTTTCGGTCGTTCTTCGTCGTCTACCACTGACGATAACATCAAAAAAGTGAAGGAAATCGTGCTCGAAAATCGTCATGCGAGTGGCCGTAAGCAGCTCGTTTGCTTTTGACAAAAGATCTAAATTTTTTGCAAAAAGACCATCGTGTGCAACAATTTTAGGACCAAAAACTCGTTCAATACCATCGATCAACCGCCGTATTCACCGAATTTGGCACCATGCGACTGTTTTTTTTTTTTGTTTCCACAACTTAAGTTACCACTCCGTGGAACCCGTTTCGACTCGATTGAGGCCGTAAAAGAAAATTCGCAGAGAGAACTGAAGACGATCACGAACCCGGACCTACAAGGCATGTTTGGAAGAAGAGGCGGCATATGTGTATCGCTTCAGAAGGAGCATATTTTGAAGGCGACAAAATAAATATTGATGAAGATTACAAATTTTTCGTTTTATTTACAATTTCCGGAAGCTTTCTGATCTTAATGTATATTA